TTAAAATTTTTCTCAAATCAATTACAGAATGAAACCCTTCTTTTTAATGACACAAATGACAGCCATTAAGCACAATTTACATGAACAAATTATTCTATTTTGTTATTTTGAGCAAGATTCATACCAGAGCTGCAAGCCTTGTGTGATTTTAGCTCCGCTGTGTGGTAGAGCTTGTGTGAATTATGCCCAGTTGTGTGGTAGAGCTTGTGTGAATTATGCCCAGTTGTGTGGCAGGGCTTGTGTGAATTATCATGCCAAGTTGTGTGGCAGGGCTTGTATGAGCTCTACTCAGCTGTGTAGAGCAGCGGATGCAGGCAAGGTATGCGCTGTTTAGAGGCACTCTCGTGTATCCTGTCTTGAGTACTCGGCCGCATGCTTGTCGTCTCTTGATCATGTATTGGTAACACTTGTATTCGCAGGCATTATTCATGCATTTAAATTCATTACTTGGGTATTAGTTCATTCGTGAGAACGCAATCATCAAAACTATGTATTAAGTGGCTACAAATTTTTAATCAAGAAATTAAATTTTCGTCATTCCATTCCATCGAACCACAGCTTTCGAATTCTTTTTCTTCCAAATTGCACTTTGATGCTGATCAAAGAATGTAATGATTTCTGCGCAAAATCTTTGATAATCATGCATTCTACAATAGTGATAATTGCATCAGTGATAGCAAATGATCATGATTTCTCCAATATTCACGGGTAGGGTATACATTTCTATGCTTGGCATGCGTATTTGAAACAAGGATAGTGAGGCATAGGCAATGATTAGGCAATATATAGTGACTTGGCATAAGCAAAGACTAGGCAATATATAGTGACTAGGCATAGGTAAGCTATCTCGCAGTGAGTTTGTCGCACCTGCTCCCAGTACCAGCCTACAGCACGGCAGGTGTTGGCTGGCTTGCTCAGCTGAGCTGCCGTGCTGACTCCATATGTATGTCTGATGATGCTCCCAGGCCTTCATGGCGATTACTTTTAGATCATCACGCCTTAAAACAATCATCGGAGCTTCTACGATCATCCGTATTCCCGTGATCATCGTTAACCAGTATCTTTATTCTAACTGCTAATCTCATTATGTAGTTTCCACGATTATCGATGGTTACGATGGTTTCATTAGATCTTATAGCAGGACTTAATTTCCACGTTGCACATCAAGTCTAATAAACAGATTTTAATTGGTTGACGGGGTTTATTATCTCATTATTTTTTTATGATATTCTTGACGCAGATATGAAGACAGAGTTTGCGCTTGCCTTAGACCCGGAGACTATTTTGGTTTGTGATCTAATCACTCATGACCTTGTCCTATATTTTATTGCTTACATATACATATATTCTGCTGAAAATGTTCGTTCACAGATTGCTCATAGCACAGCAGAGCATTATTTGCAGTCTAACTGTGATGGTGCCAATAAAGAATTGCGTTGTAAATATATTTGCTTGGATTCTAAATATATTTATAAATTTGAAAACGGCTGGTAGTTCACATTCGGAGAGACACAAAGTTCCGGCAATTCAATCGTTGATAAATCGTAATCACTTCCAACCAGTCACAATTGTTGAAACTGCTTTGTTATTGTCGTTGTAATAAGAACGTATGCGCGAATTTTCATGAACCTATAGGGTCATATACACGAAAATGATCATGATGTAAAAGTTTATCGCCCAATTATATTGCATTTTTACCAATTTCGTACCCATTATTTTTTGATCACCGGATTTTTTATATTTTATCGTCAATAAAAGTATTTCGGTACATCGTAATGCGATGCAAATAATTCCATAGGGGCCACTCTCAAATAAAAATTGTAGTTTTATTTGAATTGCGTGTATCGGGGAATTTTTTTCAAAAATTGGGTGCCTTAGACGTTTAACATACTATATAATTTTCATAGTTTTTGATTCATTTCGAGTTAAATTTACCTTTGCATAAAAAAAACTTTGATTTGTAGAATTGGAATTGATATTTTGATCAAAACTTTTATTTTGAAGCGTCCGTTTAGCATCACAGTTTTTCGAAAGGAACTTGTCCTGTTCTCCTGCGATCTTGTCACGGCAATAATATCAGACAGAAGGGGTAGCAATGAAACACAGATTACAGATTATATTTCATATTTCGCTAAGGAACAAGTGCGCGCTCGGAATTACTTCTACCGAAAAGTGATATTCCTACTTCCTTCTTTACCAGAAAACGTTGATCCGTAGTCCGGGATTGTACGGTTTTTGGTACTTTTCGTCTTCACTCAATTCCAAGCTTGTCTTTAATTCCCAGAACTCTTTTGTTCACAATAACGCCGTCTTCCTTAGTTATTATTCATCACTCAATAGAAATTTATTGCACTGCTTATTTCATCCAAACTTCGTTGTTCTTCTACAATTCGTCTTACTTCGTTGAGCTTATTTAGTTTAGGGGACCGTTTCGGCCTTTTGAAAACTTTTGCATTTACGAACGGATCGTTTCGAAACTTGGTACACATATGTAAAACAGAACTCTAAGAACTTTTTGTTCGTGTCAATTTTTCGAAAAAATGAAAGAAAACGTGAAATTGATAGAAAACGGCGAAAAAGGGGCACATTAAAAATCTATTTCCCCCTACAAATATCGTGCTGCAACATCGAGGCACGTATCATTCAATTGGGAACGACCATATCTAAAATCTATCTGGTCATTTTTTTGAATTTCGAATTTGTTCGGGAGGAGGAGGGATTTTCCAAAAAATTTCAAATTTCCACCCCTCCGCCACACCTTTTTGCAAAATATAATCCAAACTATAACGAAATCGAAAAAAATGACCGGATCATTTCTAGAGATTTTATTTACGAATCGAATGGTATATGTCTCATTGCTGTAACTTTAAAACTCTAGGAGGAGATAGGTTTTCCGTGACAATAACTACGAATGTTCAGGAGAGCGCGACAAAGTCCCGCCTGCATCGCAATTGGCACTCAATGTAGCAAGGATACGAAACTAAACGTTTATGGAGCTTGATTCCACTCAAGGATGGTGGGAGCGACTACATTTACACCTCCTCATACAACGTCAGGCGGGTTACTGAGCTGCACCTCGAGCAAACATTTGTATTTATAGTGCTGGGCAGCAATATAGCTCCTATCTAATTTGTTAAAGAACTCCCCGCGCCCGCATTTCATGATCTGTCGTGAACGCATAAATCAACGTACAGAGATAGTAATGGTACCGTTGGATAGGGCAGAATGTCAGCTTTAAGATGAGATTAAACGGGTAACTGAAGCGCAACTCAAGTAGACACTATATTTAAAGTGCTCAGCAGCTAATTAACTTCTATCTAATTTGTTAAAAAAATCCCCCACCCACCCCCCTTTCATGATCTGTCGTGAAAGCATAAATCAACGTACAGAGATGGCAATGGTACCGTTGGATAGGGCAGAATGTCAGCTTTAAGATGAGACTAAAACCGGAGAAGCAAAAATTTTCGATTTTTGACCGAAACGGTCCCCTTAACTGCAGAGAAGGTTGCCTCTCTGTCATTCATCAGAACTCGGTTGCTCAAGTTGACTCAATGGAATCTTCTTTACTCAACCGAAATTCGTAGTCCTCAGTTACTCAACCGTACTTGGTTGCTCTTCTTCACTTTGTTGCTATTCATTGCCACCCAAACTCTGTTGTGACGCTGAGTTGGTTGCTGACTTATAGGAGTCCAGGCAGCACGGCAACCGCCCAATGGTGTCTTCAACAGTACCGAACAATTCGAATTCTCCAAATGCTTGCAGATCTCGGGCAGTATCCATTTATGTTCTCAAAGTGCAGGAATCCTGTCAACGTATCAAACCGCACAAAAATTTCTTAGCCGCACTCGGCCTTGACTTTCCCCATGCAGTACTAGACCGGCCCATTTCCCACCGAAAATATACCATTAACCATGCCCCAGTATGCCCACAAACTTTTTCTAAAACGATTGTATAAAATATTTTACTCATTAATGTAGATTATTCCAATCATCATCCAGCAACGTTGAATAACTCCGGGCTTTTTGGCCGATTTCCGTGTCGTCAAGCTCGAGTGATCTATCTGATCTATTCGTAATGCACGTTGCAGATCCTCGAATTTATATTTACAGTGTTGGCTGCCAGTAAGTGCATAACCGAACGGCCGGGAAACTTCGATCATAGAGTATACAGCACAAAACATACCATATGTTTAAACAACAAAGAATTTCAGCATCATTCTCTAAGAAGTAATCCCGTTTGATCTGGTACTGAGGTAGCTTACCAATGGAAAGCCGCTTTAGCGCTGCCGGCGTGCACACGTGGTCGAGGGAACAGGGCTTCGCACCTCAGCTTCTGCTTACGGGCACGTCTCATTTAGCCTCGGCGATGCTCGGTGTTGCGTCGCCGACTTTCCGCGCGATTTCACTGCCCTTTTCTTGCTTCAACTCTTCCGCTCATATTGACGTCGCAGTTCGATCATGGCGTTCGGAAAAAGAGAAAATTTGTGCCGCAGGTGATGATTCATGCCGCCGTCAGTAAATTACAGTATGTAGGGCAAGGTACTCTTCGTTGTCAGTGGTCAATGAATCATTTTGCCTTTGCTCCAGTTATTCGATGAAATCGTTTTGGCTCTGATGAAAGGCGTCCCCTAGAACGAAGATCATTGGATCAGCTTCTCACTCTCACTGAATATCTACAATGGCCCACTCAAATGACCGTCACACGAATGCATTCTCTGCCCTATCTAACCTCAACTTAACCTCCGGTCGCCGAGCATACTGACTTATATTGTATTTCGGCAATCCGCTAGCACCCTGTGGCTAGCTAGCTTTTCTCAGACTATTGCGTCTCTTATTTGATCTAATCAGGCTTGTCATGCTCCATAATCTTCTGGTTCTGCCTTTCATTGTTCTACGTTTCTCAAAAATCCTGAGTTCAAATTATTACGAAGTAATTTCTGGTATTATAATACTAAGTCCTGTATCGAATAACCCCGCTGTGTTAACTTTCGTGTCTTTACAGATGGAGAATAGGACCAATAACTCATGGCATAATTAGTTCCATTGTTTAAAAAAATTAGTGTACAAGTCCCTAGGCCAAATTTTTTACCATCATTCATTCAACTTTCGAAGCGAGACTCAATTTATTTAAAAAATAAGCAAGTAGAACATTATTTTGTTCAGCTCCCCCTACCCATCACATTCAATATGTCCGGTCACGAAGGCCACGACATGTCAAGAGGACATGCAGGCCATGTAATGTCGGGAGGACATGCAGGCCATGTAATGTCGGGAGGACATGCTGGCCACGACATGTCGGGAGGACATGCAGGCCACGACTCGACACTCGTCATGTCATCGCCATCTCCAGACGTGGACCAACGACGTAAGAATATGAACTATATGAATTTTACATGGTAGGTACTGTCATCTGTATAAAATGCTTCATATCTGTGCCTTGGATATTTTTCTGAGACCTTAGTAACTATTTGAGCTTAGATTTGCGCGCTTTTTTGCGTTAGATTTGCGCGCTAAATTTTTTAAGAACTGAATATCTCTCTGTATTTTTAAGGTCCAATTTACATCGTATGTCTTTTTAGTACGGCCAATGTATTTTTGAGCTTTGGATGTAATTGTTAATTGAATGATTTCCCGTCACCCAGTTCATCGTAGCTTGGGAGTGAAAGGCTTCGTGCTCCGAACGTCATGCATGACCTGACTGTATTTGCATTTTGAAAGTTTATATGGTGACTTTTTCCCATCGATTGCGTATTTTAGGCTAAAATGTGTTACGTCCCCGTAGGTTGTTACTTGAGTGCTGGTATTATCCTGTATCGTGGATTTTTGTTCTCAGAATCTTTCCTGTAATTTATTTGTTTATGGAACTTGTATATCCTATATTCTACGTACAACAACATATGAAACTTATACAGTATGGCCTATATGCTGCGTATACAGCACCATATAAAAACTTTTTGTTTTGTTTCTGAAAAATATTTTTCAGCCTATCGGTTTAATAACTTTTTGTACGCCGCTTCACAACAAACAGTACTGAGCAAATAACCATGAACAACTAGTAAGCGAGTACACTACACTAGTAGTCTCACAGTAGTATATAGAAGGCTTCCAGTCATACTCATACTTGAGCGACGTGAGCCAGTCTCCTCGCACCCATTGTTTTACAAACAAACCAGCGTCACGCAAAACCTTTGTCTTAAAGTTTCACAACATGCGCAGAAATTTCGCCGTTGTTCAAGTTAATTACTAGAATTAAAATCCTATTTCTTAGCACTATTAAATCAACGATTGTTATGGTATGCCGATTGATTTAATTTGACATAAAAATTAAGAAATAAATAATTCCAATAACTTTTCAACAGATGGTGGAGGGGATCCTCATTCCGGACACTATGTTCTAACCAACGTAAGTTAAGCAAAAGTTTAATGCAAGTCAAGTTTTGGTCAGGAAGGAAATATCATACAAATGGTGACTTATTAGTGGATAAATTATAATCTTAGGAGTCATAATCTCCGAAGGTGCAAAAGAGCATATGTAATTAATCGAAAAATTAGGGTCTTACATACAATAAACTTCCGCTACACTCAGATGGATCTTCCGATACAAAATTGCTGTACATTTAAGAAATCGGGTGAATTACTTGATTAACTCTTATCACTCATGCGATGAATTTGATCGAACAATCAATCTATAACCTGGCGTAACATCTTATGAATTCAGGGAGGGAAACTGGGTTGGGGCATTACATCACGCGAAGTCCAAATTGCGATAAACTTCTTGTTCCAATACCCTAAATTCCGACCAGCAAAAATGGTGCATCAGTGCTACGTCCTCTCTCTGCTCGTACTGTGGATAAGAATATATGTCATTATGTGGACACTAATATAACTCATTCGATTATCAGTAGTATTAGTTAATGAACAAGATTAGGGGGATTTCAGGGTTTGTATCATCACAAATAGTTCCGAATTCGTAACAGAATCGCACAATCACTGACAGCTTTTAAAACTGAATTCACCTATCACAGAGGTGAGATCTGCTGCTAAGAGTACTTGGAACGCTACAAGTACCACCTTAGCGAGCTTCAACAGCACAGCCCCTGAGGTTTGTCAGCCAAATTGACAAAGTCTTGGTAGACTTAACAAGGAATGACAGTAGGTTGACTAACCTAGCTCCTGCCTCCACAGGGTCACGGCGATGGCCTGCTGCAGGCTGGGGTTGACGAAGTATTGCTGTTCCCGTGGGCGGTGACCTCTTCTGCTGGGTCTCTGTTCTTCGCCTGCCTAGTGCTGCTTCTCGTGGCCGTCGCCCTCGAGTACCTCAGACTTCTTGCGTGAGTTCTTTATTTCACAAAAAAATATATATATAAAAATAATGAAACAATGAAAAAATAATACAAATTGTAATCAATGTTCCTGATCTTTATTGTCGAACTGTTGCTGGGACGGCACTCGCCATCTGGTATTTGAACTAATTTCATATATTCAAAGCCTGATGCCACGATGCTCCAGTACTCGCAAGCTTTGTGTCATTAATTTGGTCAGCAGATAATTTTGTCATCGAAATTATGAATAAAAAGTTATTAATAAAGTCATATAAAATGTTTAATTAGTAAATTGGCTTGCAGATGGTGGCTGGAGGCCAAGCATGGGTCGTGCACCAGCGGACAGCGGACAGAATCGGACGACATCGCTGTGTGTAACGGCCAGAAGATGGAAGAACCCGCGGACAACTCCAGCCGCACCATCAGGTTGGTTCATGAGCCATCCAAAGAAAAATACAACAACTGCCATGAAAAAGTCACCCAAACGCTCCTTAGCTGTTGTGAAGAACAGTTTTGCTTTTATCGTGTAAACTACAAGTTTGAATTCAAAGAGAACTTCCGGCATGTACGTATCTTGATATTCAAAAAATGGATGGTCGGAAGAAAATCGAACTGTAATTTGAAATGTTTGCTAATATGGGCTGAAAGTTCTATATTTCCTGGAATAGAAGCACCTGCGTGTTGAAATGGACAGATTTTCATTAAAACGCTGATCATGCTAACCGATACATGTAGGAAATCGACGATAATTAATTTTAAAAAATCTGGACTTTGTTCCGACCAACTTTGGATTATTTAAATAGAGCGTTCACGTACAAAATCATATGAACACTCGGGTTCCTTAGAGATTTTATTTTTTCATCGGTATTAATCAGTTAGTGCCTATGCATTTCTGATTCTAGTTTTTTTTCTGCTTATATTTCTGCATGAAAGCTGCTTGAACTTTTTCGCTTGACCTAAGTATTGTTTGCCATGTTATCCATGTTGCAATACAAGACATGGGCATTACTTTTTATCTTTTTCACCCTCATCCTCCTAAGTCGGGAGTTAAGACCTCAAGTCGGGAGTTAAGATCTCAAGTCGGGAGTTAAGATCTCAAGTCGGGAGTTAAGACCTCAAGTCAAGAGTTAAGACCTCAAGTCGGGAGATGAGAGTTCATGGCGGGAGTTTAGACCTCAAGTCGGGAGTTAAGACCTCAAGTCGGAAGTTAAGACCTCAAGTCGGGAGATAAGAGTTCAAGGTGGGAGTTTAGACCTCAAGTCGGGAGTTAAGACCTCAAGTCGGAAGTTAAGACCTCAAGTCGGGAGTTAAGACCTCAAGTCGGGAGTTAAGACCTCAAGTCTTGAGTTAAGACCTCAAGTCGGGAGTTAAAACCTCAAGTCGGGAGTTAAAACCTCAAGTCGGGAGTTAAAACCTCAAGTCGGGAGGACTTCTGACAGGCGCCAGTGACGCACAAAAAATATACGCTTGTTCAACGTCAAACACGATCAATTCTATAGTCATCAGGGCAGGTAAAATTTACGGATTAATAAGTATACTAAAGAATATTGCTTCAATGCCATGTTTGTAATGAAAAGTTTGTGTAATTGTGCTTTCTGACGCCTTTTTCCGTGCTATCATCGACATAAGATTGCTATTTATTATGAGCATTAAATGATAAACGGTTGATGGCAGGACTTTAATTGCCTAAATATCAAGAGCACCCTCAAACTCTCTGGTTCCCATTTCATTTGGCAAAGTAAAACACGTACGATTTAAAATACGGTTACTTCGAAAAACTGTCCGAAAAAAATATATGTAAATTTTCAAGCTGAAATCAATATGAAACTTCACAGTGCCAATTTTTTTTTCTACGACTAATAAGTTTCAATGTGCGCTTAATGCAGTCCTGTCCAATGCCTTTCATCTGTTGTATGCTCACTAACAAGCATATGTTAATGCTTTGTTTGCAATATTTTATAAAGGAATGCATCCATTAAACATAAAATTTAATCTTGAATTGGCGTTTGGATATATCAACACTATTGTAAGGTAACCTTTTTATTTTTTATTGCATTTTAATAAGAAGTCAATGTTTTTTTTTCGCCTTTCAGTGAAGCTTATTTCTCGCTGCTAGTTCTTTAATAACAAAGATTTAAACCGTAATACTAATAACTTTAGTCGTTTATTCTCTTCGGACGAGGGATGAATCTCCTTCTTTTCGTTTTTAGTTGGGCTTAGTTATTGACTCTGTCTTTACTGGAGTTAAGAACCCAATTTTAATTGGCTGTAGCGAGGCTTAATTTTTTTCATTGCCGACGTCGGGCAGCGAGTTGTTGAGCAGCAAGAACCACTCGCACTACGACGCTGTCGACGCCTCGGCGCCGCGGAGCACAAGGTCTCCTCGAATCGACCGCAGGTATAACAAGACGCTCCTCTCACTCCCTCATGTACGGCAGGCTAAAAACGTCGCTATTTTCATAACCAAACTGATAAATTTTACATTTAATCCTGCCAAAGAGGCTGAAAGTCGATATTTTTATATACAAACTGATAAATTTCACATTTAATCCTACCAAAGAGGCTGAATGTCACTATTTTCATGATCAAACTGATAAATTTCACATTTAATCCTGCCAAAGAGGCTGAATGTCATTATTTTTTAACCGAAATATAATCACACGTAGCACGAGTCGTTAACTAATATAACATATCGAATATGCACCATTCATGGGTTAATTTCACTGATTTTTTAATGCAGGAATACACACATTCCACGCGCTTTGTGCTGTGATTTACTAATTATATAGTTAGTGATGGCATCATTTTCCTTCCATTGCACGAATTTTACGTACCGCAGTAAAAATTTTTTTAAATCCATTAGTTATTTGGAATAAATAGTTTTAAGACTAATATGTATGATGTTAAAGGCTAAATAAACTCAAAATAAAAGTGTTCATATTAATTTCTGTAGTCACTTCCATCATTATTTCCATCAAACGTTAGATAAAATGTATTGTTAATACCATTTGAACATTGTAGTAGACCTCGTTAATTCGACAGTATGAACAAAGTACAGCAATTAATGTTGATTGCCCAAACATGCTTGGGTTCAGAGCACACAAGTGTTCGAACATCATGACCTTAGCCTAAAATGACAAAGGACGTTTCTAGGGACTTTCGGATTACCTTTAAGTACAGTATTAGGAAAGAATAGAATTTGGTCCATTAAGAACTATTATCTAATGGAAATCCTCTGGAAATCTTGGCATGCAGCTGGCTATCGTGCAATGGTAAGCTATGGGATGTTTCCCTTACTCTTCCTGTTGCATGCTAAATACTCGCATTTTGTTTTCAGTATATTTTCGCCCAAAAAGATATTATAGAAAAGCTGTAACTAATCCTTTAGAACTTTTCTCCGCACGAGGTCTAACACGCATGCCTTGTTTGCATAACCGATGAAGTCGCTTGCTTTCTGACACTTGGCATGCTCTGCATGAACACTGCGTCCGCTGAAACTTTACACATCATCTCGAGCCCCTCAACATGTCATTTCTAATGGTTTTAATTCACATAAATGCTTTCTATCTCATTTGTAAAATCTAGCCAGAGGGTCGACATTTTTTTCTCCTCAAAATTTCTCCTTGATCCTGAGGCTTTGTTCCAGAGCGCCCATGCAGGCATGCACCCCAGAACGCGCGACATTTGACTGCGGGTCTCAGTTGTATGGTTCAGTTCTGCGTAGCCAGGATACCGCGCACTCTCCTTCTCTGTAACTCTCGTGCGGGTGACCGATGTCTTGTGCAACCATTTCGTTCTATTATTCCTATTTTGCTAATAATTTGAAACATTTTGCTACTTGTACATGGTGAATAATTTTTGATAATCGCGATCCTCCACCTTGTTCATAGTGATTAAATTGCAATTTTCAGCGCAAGACGGCTTCACAGATGATGCGGTAGTAAACCTTTGGTAAACAATTCTTGTACACCAATTTACTTATTTGCCTTCGTGCCATAGGTCCCTAGAACTGCGGTGCGGCTCAATTGTTCTCATGCACAAACTGTTACCACTGTTAGTAGATTTTGTAGTATCATAGTAATTATAATGGTTTGACTTTTATTCGCGGAACAATTTCTCACAAAATAGTTAGGATAAAATTGTTTTCTTCTGACAGTTCCAGCGCAATTTATTCTAGTCAATGATTGTTGGGAAAATTTTTATGCAGTTTATAGCAAATTACGAATAAATTTTGACTTTTTTGGCAATGTAATTAACACTAGAAATCTTTTCCATTCATTCTAAACCAAACCCAAGTTTTTAAGTTTTAGTGATGCGCGTTAGTCAACCATTTAGTATTTTCCACGTATTTTTTAGCAATATGATACTTATTCTATGCTAATTTTACTTTAGAGTTACTTTTTGTAGATGTTATGCCTCTTTTCAATATCTGTAACTATAGATATTTCACACAATCAGCAATGACTGATAGCTATCAATTTTTACGGTTTTTCATTCTATTGAGGTTAGAATAATTGACTGCTTATGAATTCACCAGGTGTTAGTAATGTATGTGAGCTACTTGTATATAAATTCCTACTTTCTTCGTGCAGTACGCTGACGTTGGGCGCTCTTGGTGTTTTGCACACTGTGAACTACATCATTGCTACGTGTTTGATGCTCATCACGATGACATTCAACATCTACCTCATCACCTTCATCGGCATCGGTGTTGCCATCGGCAAGATTGCCACGATTTTCACCAAGCGTAAACTGAAAACCCGCTGCTGACTTCTCTGTGTCGCAAACTTTGGTTTAAAATTTCGTTTTAGTTAGCAAAATTCCCGGTGACTTGACGAAAGTACATAAATTATTAATTAATAATATGGATAAATTCCAAGTATAAAGCTTTTCATCGCATCAATGAAGGCAAAAGTAATACATCAAGCCGAAGCTCAACAGTTGGCTAGGAAGTCAACTAAATTATATTATTTTTCGAGTCAAGTTTTTACATCAATTTATTAAGATTTGTGAAGAATCCGGGTCTACTTGTGCCTAAAAATCTACATTGACTTTCGTTCAACTTTGCTGTATCATTGGTAATAGCTTGAAATTTTATTTCACCCGAGTTATCAATAATTCAACCCCGGGTTTAAATATCGTTTCATAACCCTGATTTCAACGGCAGCATTAAATAATATATCCTAATACGCAAGCTTCTGAGAAGGTGAAATAGGTGTTTACTTCCATTTTTACTAATGGGAATTATATCGCCGCTCGTTTAAATTGTCATCAATTCCAATTGTGTAAAATGGAACGTAGAAAAGCAAGACATTTTCTAATATTTTCATGGCGTATTTTATTATATATGAATAATTTCATGCTGAATTCGTAGATGTATTATGCAGCAAGAAGGCAAAACGTGTTAATGTATTTTTATGGAATATTTTAACTTCTCATTATCGTCAAGTTTAGATGGAATGAGCGTTTTTTATTTTACCGCATCTACCAGGCTCTCTACATTAATCTACGAGTAATTCACCAGGTCATCTTGCGGCGAACACAATGAATTCTTTTCTCTACCTGAGCTGTGAACGTACTCGTATAATCTTAACTTTAGTATAGATTATAATTATTACCGTTTCTATTTACTTTATGTCAAGCGGTTCCCGTTCTTGTTGAGATTTTTTCTTACAAAAATTAAGTCTCTATTTGAATTATCTCTGCAAATATCTCCTGATATTTGCTGATCAAATTTGTTCTGAATTTTTCTTGAACATTCCAATATTCTGAAAACTGTATGGATCTTGTGAAAGTTTTCCGCTTCGTTATCTTTAAACGATATTTCAGCTATATTGTCATATATATCTCATTTTCTTACACTTCCTTTCTGCTTATAATAGTAAGAATCTTTATGAAAGAATATGGCGGATATCTCTCAAGCAAATACCATACAAAGTGGTCACTTGGGACGCTCATGTGTGATAAAAATATTTAGAATGCTTGGAATCTATATGTAAACCTATTTGTTTTCATGTTTCACAATATATAAACTTTTTAATTGAATTAAATAAAGATTTGTACCATTTAATACCTGATTTTTTTGCGGTATGTAGCTCGTCGCGGAAATGGGCTCGTCGCTCAACACCTCTAGCAACAATTATAAGATCTAATGCTAACATTTGCCTAGATTTATACGTTTAATTCAAGGTGCTTCCTCTGGGTCACTTGAACAGAAAGAAAGTTCTACTTAAACGATGAATATGCATTATGGCTAACAATTATATAGCTTAACGCTATTACACGATGTCGTGTTTGTGTACATTACTTCTCAGTTACGTAGAATGGGAACGAAAAGGCATTTAAATTGCGATTTTTATGAATGTAATAATAACTATATGATCAATTTCAAGAATGGAGTGACTTAAAAATTGAAAGGAAATAAATAGGCCACATATTGTTGAGCCACATCTTTTAGCTAACCTTGACAGAATTGCAATAATTTCCTGTGCGTCATTTTTTTATGTAAAAAATTGACTGCTCTGCACCCAATTAATCGAAAATCATTAAAATATATAACAAAAGCCTGAATAGAATAGCAGCTACTATGAAATTATTTTTGCATAATTAACGACAGATAGAGCACCGAACCTTTTATATATTCTAAATTCGATTGCAATGGAACTAGCGCTGCGTTAACAAGCAATTTATACGAGTCATACGAATTTATAGGATAAAACAGATTCTCCAGAGATTTCAGGTGACGGTGCCCGAAAGCACGCAAATTTCTCGACGTTCCCTAAAAAAATTATTTGTGCACGAACTTAAAGATTAAACAAAGGCCTGATAAGGAAAAAGTATAGAAAAGGGAAAGCTATAGATTGATTAGATTCAATTTGTCTTGTTTCTTAGGTCTTCACTCATTACTAGCAAGTTAGGGCATATCAAATTGTTCCTGGACAAACCGTTTGTCATGGGACTCTTACTTGAAATTAAATTAATTGGATAATTAAATGCATTATTCTGTGGTGAGTATTTGGTTTTCGAAACAAAAATAAAGAAAGTAGGTATATGAAGAGAGCCTTAATTGGAGGCGAAGTCACTCGAGCGAGATAGCGAACAATCGCGTGTAGTCAACTGAATTCTTTTGCTTCATAGGATGATCATTGCAGAAAAATAAGGTATATACGGTCAGATTTAGAGTATACGGAAAGTCAAGAAATTGTCATCAGGGCAGCAAACTGCACGCGAATAATGTGGAAGATCATAGCAGTAAAATCTTTGGAGATTAAATAACCGTCATTAAGGCGCCCATAACTTGCTGAGGGTATATCTTGTGTCAGGTGTGTGACGCTCCCACATGTTTGTCACAGATGTTCTCAGCATTTCTGTAGCTAGGAATTCGCTTCTAGGTGGTTTGCACGTAGCCATGTTAGTGTGCAGTTGTGAGTGAGAGTGACTATAGTGTGTTGCAGAGGAGTCCAGTGTATATTTTATGATATACGAGGTAAGGTTCAAAAAGATTTTACAATTATAATATTTTTACATTTCTCCCTACCAGTGCAATATTATTTGGTCCATTTAAATTATTATAATTTTAATTCCGAAGGCAATAAAGCGTATCGGGAAAGTTTACATTTGAAACTTAATTTCCCATTAATTTAAAATAACGCAAGCAAAGGATATTCTTAGAGAGTTAAATCCAGAGGACAAACTTACTTGTCAGGAAAATATCAATTGATGACGTTAAAGCCACCCGCGTATCACGCGGCAAGTTTTTCAGTGAGAGCTTCTGCAAATTGTTATTTGCGATGTAGGAAGCTGGAAAATCATTCGGTGCGTGGCAGGAGCCAGCTGGACAAATGACTCACGTCGGGCTACAGCTGCACTGTATATTTGCCGAATTGATTCCTACGGTCGATAACGGAATACTATCAGGACGAATGAATTTAACGCTAATGATTTTGTTTCCTGAAAAATCGAAAATGAGAAAAATTCTCCTTGATGTTTTAATTTGACGATCGTGTTTTAGCATTACATCGAGAACAGCGATGAGTACTGTTTTGGAAAATAACGGAATTTTCTGGTATGATAAACCTCAAAGTTTACGCCTCAAATGCATACTTTAAATATGTCGATAGTTCATACCTGATGCACATTTTGCACATCGCATTTACACTCTCAAAAATTTTCCCCTCCCTGCTGCTCAACAAAATAGGTCGAAGTAAGTGACTTTCCCGTTAATTAAATGCTTCTTGTCGTTAGTGTCTTCGTCCCTGTTATTCTCCGCATATTGCTAGCCGACGCCCTGGTCGCAATGACGGCTTTGGAAGCTGAAATTCGGACTAAATGAAATTCTTTGCCAGCGATCGGACTCGGACGAGACGGAATGTTTTGCAATTTCTGAACGAAGGACGCGACTGCTTATTGGACTCTCCATATCTGCTCGCGTTCCACCGAGAATGGATTCGAATAGCAGCGGAAAAAATGAGGGATTTGGTCGGCAAAAATGGCATGCTCAAAATTCTTTTTGACCTAATGGTCTGGAGTCTTGGCCTGACGCAACTCTCATTATTATTTTTATAATCATAAAATTATTATTTGTGCAAAACTTTAGCGAGATTTAGCTTTTCAGGAAAAGGAAAGAATAAATTTAAGAGAAGTTATTATGAAACGCAAGCATTTCAATGATATTGAATTTACGAAATCGTAATTGTGTTAGGTGAACACAATAAAACTTGGAAAAAGTATATTGGCCCGAGCTGCTGCTCGGTGGAAGTCCTTCGATTCGGATGCAGGAGCTTCACTGCATGGTCAGCGAAAGCCAGCCATTTAGCACAGTAAAACTGACCTGCTAAGTTTCGTGCCGCCCATCCTGTCAAATAAATGCCAGCTGATTTGAATGAAACGCCCCCAATTTATACGATAGAAAATTAGAGCAAGCTGAATATTAGGGTCCAAAATATCATCAAACGCTTACATTTACGTTCCTAGAAGCTGTGCTCTTCATAATCAATAGTTATCATAAAATAAGAGGCTATAATAATTTGGTCAACTAATGACTGTATGTTCATTTGGAAGATAAGGAGGGCGTTATTATTTGGGTTGAGAGTATTGAAATGGAGACAGTTATTCTTAATGCAAACTGGCTGGAGCTACAAATTTTCACAACACTGTGAGCCTCAGCGACGGACAACCAACCAGCAGCAGCCGGCCTTTTCCTGAGCTCTCGCAGAGACCCGTCCTCGGTAATAAGACGAGCTGTTTCCGATGCCCTCGGATCGTCCCATACCTCTCAAGGCAGTAACCTCAGACTAGACGCACGCTAGAGATTTCACTTCATATAGTGGAGATGAAGCGGACGAAAAAGTGAATGTGTGGCGTCGTTGGCAGTAGTAAGGAATCAGACTGGTGGGCTGTCTCTGAACCACTTTGGAGACTGGAGTTCAATCTTCAAATTTTGATACGTCGAAATGCGGGAGGTCGCCCACACAGAATTGAAAGAAATGTTGGGATTTGTAGCCTTAAAATTAATAATGAATGAGATAAACCCAAATGATAATCTACCAGCGGAAATTATCTTATGAAAGGACAAAATTTATACATTATATTCATTATTAATATATTATTACTATCTAATATATATTGCAGGGCCATTCACATCTTATCCGACAAAATCAACCTTAGCCTGTTTAAGATATCTGTCACATATTATCCTCTTGATTGACCACCTAGGTAGCCTAAGGTAGGTTCGGTTTTGATCTCTTCCGTGTAAGTTACTTAACATTTATGTTGTTTATGATCCTTGCTTAACTTGCAATTTAAGAGAACTGATAATGTCAGAACTTGCCTAAATAATCAATTAAAAATGGATTTTTTATTTCAGTCAGTCTTAAGTAACCGTTACTTGGGATGCCACGATATACGACCCTTTTTCATAAAAAAAATAATGAATATGGATGACTTCATGATAATGTTCGTTTAACTGCTATGGTTGTTTACATTTAAATTAGATAGACTATCCCTGTACCACAGAAGGTGCAGGTTCTTCATTGATTTGATCGTAAAAGGTTTTAAAGACCCATTGGCTGACGAAAAACTGTAATCAATCACCCATTTTTGATTTCTTGGAAAGGAAAGTCCCTAAACACTCGAAACAATTTATTTTTCTAAAAATTAAATTCCCTCTCAAAATTTCTTATAAAAGAAAGTTAGGAACTTCAAGCGTTTTGTAAAAGCATTTTACTTACATAATTATAAGTAAACAGGAATGAATTAATTACTATCTACCAACAGAAATGACATCAGAATAATTGAAACGTTAGTTGTAAATACCGCAGACTTTTGACCATTTTCGGCTTTAGTTGGTAAACGAGTTATTATCCGTTTTCAGTCGTTATGTTCTTTCTGGTAAATGATTTTAATGAATGGTTTCAATTGTTACATATCTTTTGATTCTGTGTCATCACGCAAAATAGATTGCAGGTATGAATATTATGTAAAAACACGTAACATTTTAAATATTATATTAAAATTGCCAAAGCTAACTGTATACGATTTTCGTTTTTATACGCTGACAGATATTGAAAGAGATGTTCAATTAAATTTAGAACAATTTTGAATGAAAATTGCGCATTGTTATAACAAATGTCGTTCTTTTACCTTTTTAGGCACTGGGATAAAAGTTAGAGAATATTCCAAACTCAAAATATACCAGGAATGAGTAACTGATGTATGTAATCCTAGCAGATTCATGGCGGTTTGCTCACACCAGATTTAATGACATTTTTAAATAATCCTCCGTGAGTCACATTATTAAAGTATATGAAAGATTACTCATTTGATTTGCTCAATAAACAAATAAATTCTGAAGACGCATGAAACTAGCATAATCATTTTTCATAATCAATGTTTTCTGTTTAATTTGAAATGCGTGGGCAAGCATTACGTGGAAAACTATCATAAGAGCATTGTTCATAATTTGTAAAGTTGTTGCAGGACTTAAATAGTTCCAACAGATAACAGAATTGAAATTAAGTCTATTTGACTCGTTGCTAAACTGAATTATTTTCTGTAAGCTGAAAAATTTCACATAGAAATGTATATATTATATAGACTGGATTTTATTGATAAAAAGCTACCAAGTTATAATAGTGTTCTTTGTCCCTAAAATATTTTTCTTCATGCCACCCGGTTGCTTAATCCGCCGCATTTTCCTTTGTTCATCCAAAATTCTGCACGTTATTACTAGGAAGTTCTCCATAAATAAAATTAGATTAAGGTCCGAAAAAAGTTATGTCCGTTTCTTGCCCCATTTCTCTACTAAGTTTAAAAAATTAAAGTTTTCATATTTAGATAAACGTACAAGAAAGTACACTAAATATTTAAGTATTTAATTTCTAAACTCCATGTTTAGCTTACAAACTTCATGTAAAACTTTTTGGATTGGTAGAAAAATTTGATGAAACTTTTATAACATAACTTTATTTCTGTTTTACTTTTATAAGTTCTCGAAAATATTTTGCTCATTTTTAACCGGCAAAAGTTAGGGACATATTCAGATGCATAATGAGGCTCTTATTTCAATAATCTCACCTGTAATACTGAAACATTCATGTCCAAAAAAGGTATTTTTCTTCCGCAGACCAATCTTCGGATGACGCTAGGAGTAACATGCTTCAGCACCTCGCCCTCTCTACCGTTATCAGCAAACTGCTGTACATGGCGGCGTCTCTGATTTTAGCAGCGACCGTTGATATGCCTCCGGCTCTCAATAACTGCAAGTTAAATGAACAAGACGGCGCATGCTTCACTGACATTGCAGAACGCAGATTCGTTTTTCTCGACGCCGCTACCTCACGCTGTCAGATGATTGCAGACAAGTCAGTGTGGATAATGGACAAGAAATTTTAATGATTGTGTTACAGTAATGGTGTAAAAATTCTACAGGACAAGAAATATACCCATTTAAATTTTGCAGTACCTACTTATAAAAAAGTCACGAGGTTTTGCATGCAATAAAGTAGGACGTACTAGGATTGCTGTTGGCATTAATGAAAATTACGTATAACCAATCACGCAATGTGATATGAAAATATTTATTTGTGCGAGTTTTACAAAAAATATAAAAAAAATTCAGCCAGAATTGAATGAATAAAAATGATAAAAAAAATAAAAATGATATGTCGTTATTTTTAGCGCATTTTCTCATTTATGGAAAAAATGCACTATTGTGCTCGCCATGTCCGTCCGCCCGTCTGTCTGTCTGTCTGTCCGTCCGTCTGTCCGTGACTTCATGTTTTCGTCGACGAGAAAATGCGCTCTCTGTCACTCAATGCAGTGAGTACTGAGTTATATTTTTTAATTATATACTAAAATTTGTCCGTTCCTTCCTGATTCGTGCAGCTCTCCTACTTGTACGAATTTGTCGGCGAGTTTTTTTAAATCGTGTCTCACATTGACAGACGTCATGACTTCCGCCTTGATGTTGGAAGATGTTTTTCCCTGTTCCCGTAAAACTTCCGACTTGTTTTTCCATCGCAACTCCGTGTTCAGTTTGTAGGCAGCTGTTTTACGGTCGCCGCTGCAAGATTTGTGATTTGCTTTTTTCTCAACATCGATTTTCCTTTGTGGCGCTACCGAAGTTAGTGATTTATCAGGTACGAGTTTTGCCGACTTAACGTGTGTGCATCCAACCGTTCACGACTCGCAACTTTATACATGATTTTCATTGTCACGATCAGTTGCGATCGACCCTAAACCTGCACTTAACAGCGACTCAAACTTGCGTCAACGAAACTTTCAAGCTGCCAAAGCGAGAAACACAAAAACTGGCACAAGATGGATGAGCCTCAAACTTAGAATGTTGTTTGTAAATTTGCCTGAACGAATTTAGTCTCGATTCCATGGGAATTTCTTATAGGTCTGGATATTGCACTCGTAATGATTGCAAAAGATGCTAATTGATTTGAATCATGAGGCTACACGTTACAACTTCCAACATTCTGACAACATGAATGTTGTTTCCGTTTTAATTCAATTTTTTTTTGCAGAACTATGGATCTTGATTACGGATCCATATCAGTTTTTCTCCACAGTAACAATAATTTGCTATTGTGGTCTGTCGCCGATGCTTCAACAGTGTCATCATCTTGTCGATTTAAGCCAAAATTTTCACAACAGCGCTGCTCCTATCTTTGTGATTTTAGCCACTCGGCCATCCCTCTTGAAGTATCCAAGGCAAGTAGCTTGTTATTTTCCAGCAAGTTTTGGTCGATTTTTCTTCCTGCTGGTAATTTCGCACAGTCTTACTTTGATTTTATTTATTATCAAAGTGATCATTCTTACCATTGCTGGATTATTCACCTGAAGTTTTTTTAATAACTGAAATTAGAAACCATTCATTTGAATTTGCAAAGCATTATATCCGTGAAATGTTCCTGCCATTTAGGCTTCACATATCCTATGCTCTACTCTATTTACTTCAAGTCTTAAGAATCTGTGTGAACTGCTGAGACATTACAGCTTTTTTGAAGTCGGTTCATTCCCAGCGTCTTTGCTGTTTTCCTTCTCGTTGTAATTTCCAAGTCTTTCCTCCTGTTGGAAACAGAGGAACTCTTCTCAGCAAATTAGTCTCTAGGAAAGGCTGACTCAGCTTCCGGCCTCCTGCCAGTCGTTCGTTCGATTTTAATGAATCACTCAAGTTCGATCAATTAATTTATACAGTGAAATCCATCCGTGCTGCAGTCTATATATAATATAGAATTTCATCGTGCTCGCTTATTAGGTCATCTCTCCGATCTTTAGAGAGATTAGTAAATATTTTTTCATCACAGGGAAGTGAACAAACATTTCTATATAGCGATAAAATATCCATGAAATCTGTAATCTTGTCAACAATTTTATATTAAAGGTATTGTAAGTGAAGATAGCCTTTTTAATAAATGTATTCCTATTAATTTTTATTTTAGTAATTATTATTAAGAGTTATTTTTGGCTTTTCCTTCGCATAAGATCTAAATTTTCTTCTGTTTAAGTAAAAAGTGGGTTGCCAGTCAGCCAGTAAACCAGTTTATTTTTATGAACAATCTTTTTCTCGTCATGCTTGCATTTCGCCATGCCTCAAAGCTGGGCAACTCATATAATGAGAATAAATTGAGCCCGCGCACTATCATTAGTGCCTCCGATGTGAACAAAAACTGGTACCTTGCTGAGCGAAAAGCACGGAACTTGTTTTTTACTAGATGCTTTATTTCATCTTGCGGTTCAATAAAAAAATTTAAATAATCTAGCACAAACACTGAAAGTTGAATGTCAAAAATACATTCACGCTTGTGTGGTTTCATCTCCCTTATTTGTTATTTCATCTCCCATCTCCGAAAAGCTTTGAAAAATTTTAATGGTGACAAATATCGTTAAAGGTGGATTAAATTTCAATGAAAAATTGCCTATTTCAGTAAAAATTGCTCTATTCACGGAAACTTTCCTAATGTGTACAGCGTGCGTAGCAACTGCCTGTGAATGTGTATTTCTATACCAAAGCTTTTTGTTTAGGATTTTTCGTTTATTTTTCAAAGAGTCGAACGATATTCCTTGCTGGTGTTGGCAGCTTGAGAAACAAGTTGCCAAAAGTTAGTTTTACTACCACGTTTCGAATATTCTATAAATACCATAAAGATCATTAACAAGAGATATTCTCTAGTCTTTAACCAAATTTTCATAAAAGAACAACTTCTACTCAATCATACCAATATTATACGCTGACGTACAACCATAATGAAGCGCAATACCTGTACCTACAGCTCCAGTAGTCACTAAACCGTATTTAATAAGAGGGTATATGTTTTTTCTTCAGATATTTGGTGGAGGTGACCCTGAAAGAATTATCTCGAGCCGCAACGCCTCCCTACGTGCTGCAGTCTGAGCAACTCTCCTTCGTCATCGCTGCTTGCAAGAGAAGGGATGCGAGGGCACTGGGGTTGCAGCAGCCCAATCGACCCCGTCTAATGTTTCCAGGTCAGTTCAATTTGCGCTTAGAAAAACTGGTCATATTGTTCAAATAGCCGCGCATTTTTTCATCAACAGCACAAGCTCAAAGCGAACGTAGCACCGATACGAATTAAGTACATCGCTGTGTGGGCACAGTCACACTCGATTCGCTGACTGCATGTTACAAGAGCCTGTGTTCTTGGTCGTGCCAGGTATTGATAATCTCTTCATTAAATTGTGTTTCGATATATTATGCTCATTAAACTATTGTTAATTTACTTTCATTTTGATTAAATGGCGAATCAACGGAGAATTACGTAGAAGCCAGGTAAATACAAAGAAAGCTCCGAAACTTTTTCAATCAGAATAAGATGATTAACCATGCACTTTTTTCTGCTTTGAAATTTAAGTAAGTAATTTCAATTTTGATCCTCATTCGAGACAAATTCACCGTTTAATCACCGTTCTGAAAATAAAAAATTTTCTATCATTGATTTTCTACTAAATGTTCAATCAAAACAATATTACGTTTTCTAGTCCTATCCCAGTTTGGATTGCATCACTATTTTTCAACAAAAAATTTAATTGCCGATTAAAGCAACTATATTTTCAAACACTGTATTATAGATGCATTATAAATCTTAAACCATGTTAAACATTATATTGTAGACACTTAAGGGGAGCGTCTACCCTAAAATTGAAAATTTTCACTTTTTCGGTTTTTATACTCATTTTAAAGCTGACATTCTGCCCTATCCAACGGTACCACTGCCATAAGTCAGCTGCAATAAATATATATATTTCAGATTTAGAAAGATTTACATATAAAAAACTAATAAAATCTCAAGGTTGCACTTGTATCTTCTTGGTTAAAATGTATGACTCTTCGCAAAAATGCACACTTCATTAAATATAATACAAGGCAACAGTATCGAGTATTAATGACGATAAACATTGCATAAAGTTAGATTTTTTATTCGATGTTCTTGGAATAAACATCAAAATTTATCAGAGTAAATTCATACGAGGCTGTGGCAAGGAAGGTCGAGCTAACAGAGGCTGCAGTTGACGAGGGCCACATACGTGCATTTAAAATGCGACGAGTTTTTCCGACTTGTTACATGGGCATCACTGTAAAGCGTGACCTGGTCCAATGCGCTGTGTTGACCGACCAGTTTTTTGCGTCCCTTCTGCTTGAATGCTTGCGTATTTGTAACTCGCCTTTGTGCGTTCCAGATAATCATTTAGTTTTGCTAATGATGTTTTTTTAATTTATTTAATAAGCCTTCAGTACGTACTTGTGCGTGAAAGTTTCAACCGCAAGGCAGCCACAACTTTCTTACATGAAACATTTTTACCAAGTTTATCAAAAAGTCTTGCATTAATTATGGAATATGATCGAATTAGTCTTCATAGAATCAATTTGATACGCTTGAAGGAATTCTAGTCAATTAAATGAGGTATTGGCGAAATTTTTCATCTCCACTAGATTTTCCCACATGAACAAATATTCGGATAAATCTCTCACAAAAATGTATTTAAACTTACAGCTAAATCATTAGGTGTCATTTAGTTCGAAATATATCGAGAGAAGTTATTTATTTACAGCAACAAATCCTGCTTTCACTCCAGAATTACTAAATATGTTCCGTTCCCTTTAATTATATAATGGATTCTTTTCTTCTAACAGCATATTTGTCATCAGGGTATGATTCTATGCGTTTTTTTCAAATTAAGATGTAATTTCATCTCGGAAGGTGTGCCATTGACTACCCCATCGCGTAGATGAAGTTTAGAAGAAGAAGAGATCGCTACGATATCTCTTGGGCTAAATGCTGCTAACTGCGGTATCGCGAGTTGCATGAAGGGAAAGCGGCGCAAACATGGAGGGATATCTGGGGAGCAAATATAGCGCTTCTTTCAATACGTAAAATTACCCAAGCATGCCTAACTAGTTAGCTCACCATATGACCCCCAGGTTTCAAGTACTCAGAATTATATTAGGTTCACTAACCAACCCTAGGCCATACTGAGGGAAGCACCACCCTCGACGGCTACCAAGCGACGCCCACTAGCGACACCGAAAAATGAACTGAGTTTGCCCGCTCATCTCGGTGCTGCTACCACTGCAACATCTTGGCGATCAGTTCACAACCCTCAACAAACAAACATTTAAAATGCGTATAAATGAACATATACTGTAAAATCGAAATGGCACCTGCATATAACAATTCCATAACTCATCTTTTAAGTTCAGAGCAAGTGTTGTCAAAGCGGCAGACTGAAAGTTTGAAACTTGAACTACTACCTGATGACTATGAACAGTTCAGCGCATGCAATGAAAAATACCAGCAATGGAGCTCCCCTTTAGGGCAGCATAGAGGGACGAAGGCGAATTATGGCACCAAACCTATTAACACGGCATCTACATTAGAACATCAAGAACATTTCCGTAAATCAACAAATAAGTTCACTAAGGTTACAAAATCATAATAGATGACACTACGAAGCGCTCTCTTTTCATAATTTAGGAATGTTGTGTTATTAGATAGGAATAAAAGTTGAATAGATTAGGAATATTTGGAAAGAGGTGATTTTCGAAATGTTTATTGCCATCATCAGTAGGTGCAGGAAGGTGTAACTTATGAAGTTTCCCACTTGAAGGTTGATGGCAACACGGCAGTATCGTATAGGCTTTATTGGAACAATAAAAACAAAAATATAACTCAGTACTCTCTGCAGTGAGTGACAGAGAGCGCATTTTCTCGTCGACGAAAACGTGAAGTCACGGACGGACAGACAGACGGCCAGACGGACGGACAGATGGACATGGCGAGCACAATAGTGCATTTTCTTCATAAATGAGAAAATGCGCTGAAACAGAACAAGACGAAGGATATGTGAGCATAACTTTTGAATCGAGCCTCGCAGCTGATCACTAAGTTACAGGAACATTGCTATGCTACGGAAGGGTTGACACAACATTTTTTACGAGCAGGTACCAAGTGGTGTGTTGCTATGCTACAGAAGGGTTGACACAACACTTTTTACGAGCAGGTACCAGTGGTGCGTTGCTATGCTACAGAAGGGTTGACACAACACTTTTTACTAGCAGGTACCAAGTGGTGTGTTGCTATGCTACAGAAGGGTTGACACAACACTTTTTATTACCACGTTTTTCTTAGCTCGCTCTCGTGTCCGTCTGTGATGATCAAATCTTGCAATCGATATTTCACCAACTTTCCCGCTAGCTAGCGCTCTGAAACTTTTAGGGAAGCTCAGCTCCCGATGACAATACAATAATCAATAATTTGTTGCACGTTTCCAGGCGTATTTATTCAATGAAATGCGTGGAATTTAATCAATTGGTGCATGAAATGAAATGAAATTACATGCACCAATATATCCCCTCGAATACAATTTTCTACAGAACTTCGAAAAGAATTTTCTTTCGTGCATTTGCGTGGCCAACTGAAATAAAATGAATATTATGTAGGACTAAAAAGGAGAAAATAGAATATTAAAAAAAAACTTAAAAAAAAACACGTTTTTCTTGTGGACTAAAAAGTAAAAAATAAATTATGGCTCGCCCCAAAAAACGTGGGTCGGGCAGATTTATGATTTAAGCGAAAAATACACAACACACGAATTTTGGAAATTTGATGGTGAGCGTACAGCCCGACCCACGTTTTTTGGGGCGAGCCATAATTTATTTTCTACTTTTTAGTCCACAAGAAAAATGTGGTTTTTAAAAAAGTTTCTCTAAGTATTTTATTACGAGCAGGTCTCAAGTGGTGTGTTGCTATGCTACAGAAGGGTTGACACAACATTTTTTACGAGCAGGTACCAGGTGGTGTGTTGCTATTCTACAGAAGGGTTGACACAACACTTTTTACGAGCAGGTACCAAGTGGTGTGTTGCTATGCTACAGAAGGGTTGACACAACATTTTTCACGAGCAGGTACCAAGTGGTGTGGTCCAGGCGATGAGGCTGACAGTTTTGATGACCTGGGGGAGCTGAGGGAGGTGGACGCCTGCTGCCGTGACCACGACCAGTGCCCGGACAACATCAAGCCTCAAGAGACCAAGCATAACATCACTAATGACTCCGGCTTCACCATGTATTTCTGTTTATTTTCACTTACAAAGATGCTGTTTATGTTTGGATATCTTTGAAATAAACATTGATTTCAGTTTCAATATTTGTATTAACGATAATTTTCTGATACTCTCAATACTATTTAGATAACAGTTTCATGAGTATCATTTTAACTGATTCATCACAATCATTTATTTTAACTATACATTTAAAAAAGCACTATCATTCATGAATACAAGTATATGCCTATGAATAAGACCGATTTTAATTTTACTTGTGTATTTCCAAATGCTTCCATTGTATTATGATGTTCTGTTAGTCAATTGGTCATAAGCAGCATATGGGCTTTAATTAGATAAATTGAAAACTTCTCTCCCATTTTCCTTTTTTTCTGACGGAAATAGCATCATGTTTATCGAAGTATTTCGTTTGTTCACTGCCAGGCTTGAAGGCGTCAAACTTGCGGGACTTGATTCGCGTTACTGCGAAACTTGCTTGAAATTATCGCCAAATTTTTCCAGCAAATCTCTAATGAACCCACCAATTATTGAAAAAAAACATCAATATTGAATCACCATCAGAGCATTTTTATATTTCATAATAGAGGTTAAGGCCATCAGGAAAATTATCTATTTCGTATCTAACAAAAAATATCAATATTGAATCAAAATCAGAGCATTTTTATATTTCATCATAGATGTTAGACCATTAGGAAAATTATCTACTCAATTCTATAAAAATCACAATTTGGTGCCGAAAAAACGAGCTCCGTGCCATATCTCGAAGTTTTAAAAAAATTAGCATCCACGTATGGCTGCTTCTAGATAAGTCATAATATAACTGGTCGGAAGCCAATAGACCGAAATAGACCTCAAACTATGCCCGTTTAAGTCAACTTCCAAACTTTCCAGGCAGATATTTGAACTCAATCCAGGATCTGAGGGCAAATATAAATGCTCTAAAAAAATCATACTTTGGGAAGAGTTCTCAGAAATTCTCGATACAAATTTCAAGTTCTGCTAGGGAAGCATAGGAATGCCATAAGTTATACATCGAACGACCAATATTTAATTCTAGCTTACATCTCCTTGGCACGTTGAGATCATTTTTTGCCCAAGATCGTTCAGCTCTCGGGGAAAAGTTCACAACCAGTTCAATGTGGGAAATTCCGGGCCATGAGATGCTTATTTGTGCTCGAAAAACGACTTCTTAAATCTTTACTCCATAGTTAGCTGAAAGAGAATACTTTTGCTGGCTCAGTAAATAATTTATGGGGATATTTATTTATGACTTATTTATGAATTTAAAACGAAAGCAAACTAAAAGCACTTCGCCTAATTTCCTTCATTTACTTCCATTCACTTCTTACCATTGCTATTTGAGATCAGTCATTTGAATGAGCTTCGCAACTTGCAGTTAAATATAATTGTGATTGAAGATCTTGAAACGTTTAAAAATTGTTTTGATGTGCACAGCAACTAAAATATTGCACAGGTATAGCACACAATCTCGGACAGTTTTATGACTCCACAAATTATCCAATTCCGAATGAGTTTAAAGGTGTAAAAGATCATATTGATATTAAGATTCAATGTTTGTGACGTAAGATTTATTAGCGCCCTTTAGTTGATATTCTAGAAATGCTATGTTTATTATATAATAGATCACATTTTTACTTTGGGAGATGCCTAGAATCGTGTTCTTTGGAATATCCCATTGCGTGATCAAGTTCTTCTATTTAATATTTTTCAGGGCAAATTGTTCGCGGATTTTTGAACGTCTTAAAACATTATAAACAAAATTAAGGACGGGTGCCGAGTGCTCGCAACCGGCAAATTTTTTAACCGATTTCTTAGGAACTTTTTGGACATTAAATTTTATATAACATTATATTATGTTTATATTATATTATATTGTATTATATTATATTATATTAAAACCTTCTAAAATGTACCTCACATTTCAGGTTTTTTCGAAGAACTTGTCAAGAGTACAAGTTTAACTCGTCTGAAGAACTGCAGTGGCAGGTTTTCGACTTGGCCAATTTTTAGCTGCTATCGACCAATCGACAGCTGCGTGAAAAAAATTAACGTTTTCGGCTTCATCTTGAATATCATTCCCCTGTCGTACATCTCATTTTGGATGAAATGTTGGCAGACATAAATTTAGCGAATCATTGTAGTATATATGCATTTTTTGTAAACCTAATTACAGATATTATAATATTATAGGCTTTGTAAACATTATAAGTCATAATTGGGTTTTTAAATGTCATCTTTGCAACATGCATAGAAAATATTTAAGTGCTTTTTATCGATTACCATGTGGGGCAAGTATAAAGTTTCGAATTTTGTTGATTTTTTGCAATGAATCCCAACTAAAATGCACACAATATAGCCAGGCTTACTAATCCTAATAGTTATGGAAACTTGCGTGTTAAACTATCCATAATTGTTGGCTTGTTGAAGTAATTGCAGACGAAGCATCAACTATAAAAAGTCATCCCGAATCTTGCTTGCGATGACCTTTACATGCAAGCAAAATTTGTGGGTTCATAGACATGTTAGCACGAGCCAATTCTAATTTTTTTATGGTTTGATATGTTAGTTGTCTCTTGCAACGTTCGTCTGCCGCATAATTGTACAGGCTTATCTTAGAATGTGCCGCCTTGTCAAACTAGTTTCTAGCAAAAACTTGCCATAGCCCTTAACTCGATTTCAAAACTGGCAAAAGATTGAAGGATTCCAAAAAGTATATCGGCAAATAACCCACTCTCCATCTGATCAAACGATGAAAATGAGATGTGATGGTCGGAAATTGTTCTGTCCTGTTTGACCTTGCATGCTAGAGGCATAGCAATCTTAAGATTTATTAATAATAAATTTATGTGCGTTGCCCGAGAGCTGTTCGTCGCGTGCAGAGCGCTGCAGCAACTCCCACTGCTGACGTGCTGATAAATTATATTTTTGCTGCAATGTAGCTCGGAAACTTCAGACTCTATAAAAAACGTTTTTTTAATTTAGTAGTATACAAATTATATTGATAGATAATAAACTTTTTTTCAGCTAGAACAATTGAATAGTAACTATGATAACAATCAGGTGAAAAGGATAATAAATTTAACTTAAATTTGTTAACAATATTTTTAAATTCGGGTTGTTCTCATACTGCTTTTTTTACAAAAAATCCTCTTTCTTTTCTCTCCCTTCGACTCTCTCTTCTTCTGTTTGGAAGAGAAAAATCAGTTGAATTGAGTCATTTTATAGGCAAAAATAAAATTTGGACTTGTCATGTGTATTATAAAATTTAAATAAGATTTAATTAAATTCTGATAAAATTGCCATGGGATATAAGAAAATCGTCCTAGCTCTAGATTCTAGAATGAAGCCTGAAGTGCAAAAAGCTAAACCTTGTCCATGCCACCACGATCGCTCAATATGTAAATTTCCTGAATTCGAATAAGCAACTCAGAAAAACTTCCAGATCTCCGAAATTTTCTTGCTTCTTAAAACACAATAACGAGGTTGAATTAAGCAAGTCTTTTGTCCTATATGGCAGGACGATCTGATCTAAATAACCTTGCAAGTAATTCGTAAGCTGAACGCTTTTCATGTGTAGTAACTTTATACGATAGATGCTTGTTAAAGCATTGATTGCATGTTTTAATGCCAAAAATATTTGCTGAATGTCCACATTTATAAACATTTTGTACCGTCAGAACATATGGAGGGAAGTGCAAGTCCAAGCATTTTTCGTGATGCTGTTGTGTTCTTCGACTTATTGATGAGTCAAGAACCTCAATGAGTTTCATGATAATTTTTTTGCTGCCTCTTGATCACCACTTCTTTTATTGGGTCTATCCCGATTTAAATTCTGACTGGTAATTGGTCGATATAAATTCATTCAAAATTAGTAGCAGCCTGGTGGCCGCAGAAAAAGATTAGTGTGGATAACACCTACTAGGCGCCATAAATTAAAATTTGCACGTATATAGAGGGTTTATCGATCTACGTCATCAATTGTTCACGTCATCTGGATTCGTTCAATTTTTCAATATGTATTTTAAATAAATTATGGTTCACACAAATATAATCACTTGAGTTACAAAAAATACCCAATAACCGGGGCAATCAGAAAAAACCATTCATAACGAGAATGTTTTCTTTTATAAAATTGAAATTTTATTATGTTCTTGTGTGTTAACTCATTCCTAAATCCTCTGTCTTTTCAGTCATACATCGAGGAATACTCGGAGGACATTTAGATTCATTCGTCCGATGACGCCTGTTCGTGCAGGGAATACCATTAGTCGAAGTAGAAAAAATATAAAGAAAAAAGAGGCATTGCGTGTTTTGAGTAGCACAAAAATATTTTTTCTTCTATCAAATCGGAAGACAGGAGACGATTTAAACTAGTAATTCAGGTATCGCTGCAATGCCATGCAGCCTTTAGGGCCATTATCAGTCATATTTTTTTTCACCCACACAGGCATAGTAGCTAGAGCGTTTAAACACTTAAAAATCATGGCCAATCTATCGTTCTCAAGTGATTCATTCAAACTTTGCTTGTTGTTTAATAGAGTATTTTATCTAGCCATATGCAGAAAATCTGCTTTTTTTTATTAACTTACAACAATACAGAGCGATTTTGATTGACTTGTCGCTCCTTGCCATATCATGCGCAGGGACCTTAATTATGGAGTGAACTATTAATCAATCATTGCGAGGACCGTAAATTTTAGGCTGATACGTTGATGCTTTAAGTACAAAAAGTTCCCGATGCAGGTTTGTAGTACATATATTCGAGAAAAAGTGCCAAAATTCATTGTATAACGAAAGGAATCCAGAAATGCAACGAGTTTTCCCGGAAAAATTCTGCTGTGTAACGAGTTCCCTGGAGAATACTGCAGTATAGTGACCTCTGAAGGATTCTCTCCATGGGACTGAGGGAAATCAGATTCCGAGGGAAGGATGTGCTCAGTGTTTTGCCAGCCTCATCAGAGAGAGCGTGCGGCTGCCAGAAGCTCCGGAGGGCAACTGCGTGTGAAGAACAACTATAAAAACTTCCCCGTTCGTCATCTCGTCTGCTTCAAGGTGAGACTCTGGGAGCTACACGTAACACATCCCATCATGATAATAACTAAGACTCGTCGATTTTTGTTCCATTATTAATGTAATAGAAACAGGTACTTAGCGTAACTGCTTGAGGGCAACTGAATTCCCTTGCCTCAGGAAAGTTGCTCCCTCATCCAAACTTTATTCTGAGAATTACGAAAGGATAAAAGACACGATGTTGTGCTTCCTCTTCTTCTCCTCTATATCATCTTTTCTAAATCAGTATTTAAGCGCATGTAATCTCTTTGCTGGATTTCTTTATAAGTCCTTGTTCTGCCCATATGAAAAAAAATATTTGCTTTGAATAGTTCTATAAATTCACAGAAATAATTTTTTTCACATTACGTTTTAATTGAACTGGGATCATTCATTGACCGAATATAATTCGATCATCAATCTTCTTCCATGGCAGTACTATCTTACTATTACTTAATTTAATATTGAAACCGTTAAATGAAATGAAACTAAAGTTTCATTTACTTGTATTACTTGTAATACTTCATATACTTGAACGTATTAGGAGTGGCGCAGCACGAAAGCAATGAAAACATTTTCTGGAAAAATAAATTCCGTTTGCAATTGTTAAAAGAAACTTGTAAAGTTTAACATGCAAAAGAATAGCAAATAACATACAAGTTAAAATTCATCACCAAGTAGATGCGCAGTTGAAGATTTACTTTATGTATACAAGAATAAGATGTTTTAAGAACACTCGTTACCTCATCGCGCACAAAACGGAGGAAGGCCTGAAGTCGGGTTATTTTAATAAGGGAAAATCCACTCATTTTGTGTCAGCAAAAGAAAATGTTTTTTAGACGTCTTCAGAAATATATTATGAAGAGTCCATGACGTACTCAGCACGCACATAACTCGGATATGCACACCTTTCAGATGCATTCGTCGTTACTATACACCACCATATTAGTTGAGATATTACAGAGAAAATAAAAAGGTTTTATTCAAAGTGATTAGACCGTGATAAATGCAGCAGTAATTTTGTGTGCTTTAATGTTGCCTCGATGGTTAACACTTCGATGGTTAACACTTCAAAGTTGTCAAGCGTCCGGAAAGTACACTAGTGGTGCATTTGAGTTAAATTATAATTATATCGCAGCTACACTGCAGTGCGACTGTAACGTTTCTGCAGATTATACTTCCAGGCGTTAATTTTTGGATCAATTAGATGGTATATAGGGCATGCCAGTTTAATGGCATTTTTTAGTCGAAAGTCAAGGGTACTTTAAACTTTTTGGGCTTTTTGTGGAAACATCGGGCATAAGGAAGCTCGATGTCCTTCATCTGACCAATGACTGGTATTCAAGACGTTTTAAATCTGTCGAAGAGTTTATCAATAGCGCGCTTTATCTTCGTATTCAAGTTTTTCATCAACAAGTAACCAACTTTGAATTTATTTTAAGTATTAATGAAAATCTTGACGGCATGTGTGTAACACATCAGTTGCGTAGCACCCGTAAGCCCACTCGAAATTCTACCATGGATAAGGAGCTCTCGTGAAGCAAAGTACGCATGCCATAAAGTTTACTGAAATGGCTCATTTTAACTTAAAATTACCCTAAATGCTTGCTCCGTGAAAACTCGGCAAACTATCTTTAAATTCGAATCTGGTTCGAATTTTCAGGTTGATGAATATTTACCTACTGCAAACACCTTAGCTCCCTCGCAAAGAGGCTTTCGTTATTAGAGTTGGCGTAATATTTTCCCCAGAAACCTCATGTAGGGTAATTCAACACATTTTTTACAGAGAAAAATTATCATTCATTCAATCCAAAACGACAATTCAGAGATAGAGGGATGCTGGGACACTACAACTACCAAGTGACTCGTTTCAATCAGATATGAAGGTCCTGCTGAAAAACTTGCACCGAGCTCACTGTTAGTATCAATCTACAAGAGGTATACTTGTGCAACTATGTTATTAGCAAACGAATTTTTTAGCGTAACTAAAGAGTTAACGTTGTTTTCTGCTGGCGGTGAATTTAAGTCTGTATATGGGATTGCACTATATTTTGCAGTTTAGTTTGAGGTGACAATTTTCTTTTACTTGGCATCGTCAATGCCGTGGGATGGCAATTGATTTTTTGCCCCGTTGGGTTATCAAATAAATCTATTGTCAAAAACATTCTACATACCAGGTTTACAACGAACAACTTTGAATGGCATAAGAAGCTAACGAGGAGGTACACAGTAAATATATTTTTAAAACCTTTGTTACAAGTAATTCATCACTAAATTTTTTTTAAAACCATCAAGTTTCAAAAATTCGCTTCCTCAAAACCACGTACATTTCGTAGTACGTAATTGACCGTAAGCCATTAAACTTCGAACGGACTACCAACGTATCATATAAGAACCAAAGTTACTACGATACAATTTCGTAACCATTTTTAATTTACTAGTGTCTTATTTTTTGTTCATGAATACATTTTCACCTCATGTATCACCAATCTAATTTCTAGGCACATAATTCAATGTTTTTCCTCCATACTCACGAAGAAAATAGAGAGTATTCGCACAATTTAACAAATATCTCCGTCCGCTCCCTAAAGGTTCCTACTTGTCTAAATCTAAAGCAGGGCCTATACTTTCAAAATAAGTTAAGAGATTGTAAGTTCATCAACCAATCATTGACGGCCATTCAAGCAAAATCCACCAAATCATAGGCAAGAAATAGAGCGTAAGTACTTACGTTCACCTAGCGAGTTTTGCAAGTATGGCCCCTGCTTCTGGAGTTTTTGCGCTCACAGCACAGCTTCCAACTCCTCGAGAATTGGGGATTTGGAAGGATTTGAACAAGACTTCAATAAAAAAAAGACATGACCTTCTTCATAAAAAAGTTTTTTTTTATCCTGAGTAATCCCTTCTGACATTTAAAAAAGTCCCGAGTAATCTCTTCTGTAAAAATAAGACATTTCGGTTTTATGATTAAAAAATTATAAAAATTTGAATAAAAAATATATCAATAAATAACCTCGAAATGCGCGCTGTCGAGACATAAAGATAACTTTATATGTAATTTTATTTAGCCTTGCCATCAGCGAGGTTAGAATCTTCACAAAAACATGCACCTCAAAGACCAGCAGTAAAAAATCTCAGACAGACAGGCGACTCTAGGCTGCGGCAGCATAAAATTCTGACACCCTTCGATTATATTCAACGTTTTACTACATTCAACATAATGTTACAAGACGCTATAACCTATTTCTGATACTGCGTATCAACCTTCATGTTCAACGTTCAATGGCTCGATAATCTTCTGTTTAAATAGAAATTAAAGAGAAAGAATAATACAAACATGACTTGGTTTATCTAGCAATTATTTAGTATTATTAATTCTCTAATTTCTTCGTAATTCAATGGCAGCCAACAAGAAGCTCGGTGTTCGTGTCTATGGACATTGAGGACTATTTATTCTACAGTCGCTCGATTTCAGTCCAAACTTGAATCAATCTGAAGAGAAAGTGGTAACTTATTGTTTTCAACCGGACATGATGCCATCGGTGCGGTTAAGAGTATAATTTTTCAAAGTTATGAAACATTGAAAACTTTGTTTCGTCTGCGTAATTATAAAGTCATTTAACCGTAAGAACTACATAATCGGCTCAAAACTGCGACGAAATCGATGCTCGGCTCGAAAGTTACTAGCACTTGGTGGAACTGACTCTGGTCATGAACCCAACTTTTAAAGGCAGTTAAGGATTCATTTAACTCTTTCCCCTCCTTCCACCTGATGAAAGCAGTTTTGTTTGAAAGTGTTTCTCATTAACGGAATTTTTAATTCCAACTGCTGGCGGAAAGTCTTGGAAGCTGTTTGGAAAGCGAGTAGCAATCATAAACGATCGCCGGACCTAAGGTAATCTACCTAGAGACAGATAAAATTAAATATCAATAAATTTAAAAGATAAATTTTACAGATAATCTCTAAATTTATCAATAAATGATCACAATCACAACAGAAGTTTGGCATTTGGATTCTACTGGCATTATTGTTTATGTTAATACATTGGAATTGTCCAAGACGCATCTAACACCCTCACGTTGGACTTACATCCATCAAAATCTCGTCTTTAGGTTTGTGTTGATATGCCAACCTTTCGGTTAAAATCCACACGCGATTGAAATGTGGATACCTGATCAAATAACTCCGAGTAATCACACGTGATCCAACAAATCCTAATAATAATGTCTGTAAGACAAACCCATGTCTAGCAGTAAATATTGCTGATAGACGAACCTGTGTTAACTATCCATAATCCTAACCTACTAATTTAAGACTAATTTTAAAACAGTGGAATTCCTACATCCTATTTAAAACGCGCACACAGTAAAAATTAACTAATACCAAACTATTAGATCGAATCGATGATTAACCTCATTCTCTGCTATTAGGCGTGATCGAAAATTAACCCCATTAACAAACTATTAGACTAAATTGGACAATTTTTTTATATAATTCACCTTCGCCGAGGAATAGTAAGTACGAACTAATAAGTGTACGGTTAGCTATGAAAATTCAATTCTTTATAATTCAATTACATTCTATCTCATATTCAATACTGGTTTTTACACGATTTTCATGGCATTTCAACGGGTGGTAGAAATAGGAAATTGTTTTCTCGACTACATAGGCTCTTATCGCACAAATTTCTCTGACACACGCTCAATGGTAGACTCACTGTAATTCCAGTTTTATTTTCTCTTACAAACATCATATCTGGATAAACAAGACAGGCTTCCCCCCTTCAGTCCTGCGTAAGATGTTCACAGCTAAATCAAACAACAAGGAAAGCGAGTTCATGTGTCGATATCAGGAGGGCGTCCGCCAGAATGGTTTCTCGATAAACGGCCTCTGATAAAACGTGATGGAGGAACGCTACGGCAGAGCTGGGCACGAAGCCAATTTTCTTTTCTGACGCTAAATTTCAAAATATTGTAAACTAACCAGGGTCAAATACTGATGATTTTCTTGCAAAAGTTTCGTTCGAAGAGAGATTTTTATGTTTATCTCGATTCATGACTCATTTCATGTTTATTCAATTCATAACCTCAAAACTTACAATGACAGACATTGCGTGTCTGCTTGGTGCTTTGAGCGACCTTTTGCTATGATTGTGACTTTTAATTGCATTAATAAAATATTTGCAATAATAATAATAATACTTTTGATGTAAACGTTTTTATGACCAATTTAGGGACCATAAATTCTTTTAAATTAATTTATGGATAAACAACTAATAAACAAATTAGCTAAATTGCTGTTGGAATAAATGGACACCAGAATTGGCTTAATGATAACGAATGATGAAGGACTGTGTCAAAAATTGGAAGATTCGAATTACGACTTTATAACGGAATTATGAAGTCAAACGTAGAGCTTGATAACGCGTTGAAAAGGTTTGAGTTGAATTTCCGATGTCGTAGAAGCTGTCAACTTCGTACAGAAGTATATACCTCGTCTAGTTTATTGTTTGTCTTTATTTGAACTCAAATAATTTAACCGCGTTCTTGGCTCATTACATTAAAATTAGGCCAAAAATCGCATTACACGCAAAATTTGTTAAAAACTACTTTGTTATTTTCATTGTTTGATTGTACCTCTGTTATTATTAAATGGAACTTGCAATGGATAACACTGAAAGCTGCGCAATGAAAACTCTTTAATCTTGGAATAATATAGCATAATTAGATATAAATGTATTAGATACATAATATATAGTATATAATTGTTGCAGGATTAGATACTACATAGAAAGCAAAATTTGCTCTCGTGTTTACCTGTTGAAAATCACACATGCAGCTCCCTCCAGGAAAATAACGTTAAAACAATGTGCATTAGATATTTATTTAGTTGATACAACGCTTAATCAACGTTATTTTATCGTCTAATAGCTGGTGGGAGGCTTCCAGAGTTTTATCGACTAGCAGTACAATGATAGAACAATGTGCAGTGACACTCTCATGCTGGTGCAGAGAAAACCGTGCATCTTACAGAAGTTGTAAGTGGTTAGAAATAAACGCTACCATCTGCCTGTTTTAGTTATATTATAGTTATATAATAATTATTTGTATGTTTTATGAGTAGTTATTCCCAACGAGCGGAATTTATTTCATTCCAATTAGGCCTTCTACTTCTCCATTTCACTTATTTAAATTATAGAGACTCAAGGTTGTTGTGATAGGTGCTGCCTTGTTCAGTGCTCTTTTTTTTTTAATTTTAGGTATGCACATTGCACATCAGTAAATTTTTTGCTTACTAAGGCACTTTAATTAGCATTAGATGATCCAATGACACATTTAAATTGTACAAATGCAGGAATAGAAATCGATACTAGAAAATTAAAAGCAAACAAAATGGCCAAAAATTCACCATTTCTTTATAAGAAAAAACGTTTCCGAGTTCCACTACATCGTTAGTTCAAAATCTTACAACACAATTACGAACTATTATTAAACTAAGCTTTACTTTGAAAATATTAAAACCTAAATCGACAAATGAAAACAAATAAAAATTAAATAACCGTAAGCAAACAGACCTAAAGGCAGTCGAGAGATCTAAGTAGTTACTGAATTAGCAGTCACTGAATTACTAAGTAGTTACTGAATTACTAAGCATTCACTGATTTACTAAGTAGTTTCAGAATTACTAAGTAGTGTCTGAATTTCAAAGTAGTTACTGAATTAAACGTCCGAACTAACAAGTGCTTATTTTTATTCAATTACAAGAGCAGACATGGAGTTTGGTTGGGTATCAGTGCTACGGAAGTTGACTGTGCTGGCTGTCGCCGCTCGCTGGGCGCAGGCGCTGCCCAAGCCAGGAAGCTACTATACAGACGAGGCCGCGCACCGCTTAGTGCACTTCGACCTTCACAGTGGCGACTGTCTACTTTTTGGTGACAGGTGAGAAAAACTTGAGTCGTATATAAGGAAATTTTACATTAGATTCTTAAAGGTATTATTATTTACTTTATATTATCCATTCTGGTTTGATCTTTATCAGTAATAGTATGGAATTAGAGGGTATGATGTATAATAGAATATAGATCGAGCATGATACCTACTAACCCTTCCTCTGATATGGAATAGAATAAAGGGGAGTTTTCTACGTGGCCCAACATAATAATTTTTACGATAATTTTTGGCTATTTTACATATGAGACCTCGAGTTGAAGCTACGAGTTTTGACCTAGCAAACGGTCTAGCAACAAAACCAACGTCAGACAGCCTACTGACGTACAATTATTCTAATCGAACAATTTCGTCTTCAACTGAGATGTTGATTGTCATCCCACTTGCAGCTTGTTCATCTGCATATATTGCCTGCAGGCGAAACGAGATTAGATCGGAATACGTAGCACGGTAAAGGAATTCTAGACGCTGTCACAGCTTCTACGCCACTAGATTATTTCATCAAACCTGATGATTGCAGGAGTGCACATTTTTTGCCACTAAGATCTACGTAGAATTAGGCTCTGACGCCTTATGAATGAGCCACTAATATACAATATTTGATGAGACCACCTAGCAATTTGGCAATACAACTATCAAATTTGGTATAGTCTGAGAACCTTGCTCCTTATCTTCGCTTGGCAATTAAGTGATACTGTAAGAGAAAACAAAATGGTATAAAAACACAGTGATCTTTGACATTTGTGATACATTAACGGCAAATTTTTTTCACTATACTGTTTGTAAACATTTTTTTATATAAGTTTCTTTAAATTCCGAACAAATTATGTTATCAAACTACAAACCTATACTCAACAGGAAGAATTCTAACGTTTTGCCGTTCAAATAATAATATTTTATTCTTTTCAACAATTGGTTTTATTCAACTTCTAAACTAATTCTTGTAATATTGACGAGAAATCCATGTTTAATGCTTGACAAACATTGTTGAAGCTTTTTTGGGACACGAAAATAACCTAAATGGAACTTAGTCTATAATAAATGTTGAAAGGTGTAATAGAAGCGTGTTGCTTTTAAATTCTTCAAACTGTTCTGGGGCGATTGAACAGTAAATTTTTGGCAAAATAATAAGATAATTCTTATCCGAACTCTAGGTAGAACTCAGTAGTGGAATTTGTACCCTATATGTTTGATAATCTTAATGCCGCATTCTTGGCAACAGAAGGACGTTCATTTTTTGTCAAATACAATAAAAAAACAAGCAACTCGACCTTCGAGTTGCAAAAAGTTTCGTTAAACAGGCTAGCACTAAAAAATGTATACTACTTGCCTTAGTTCCTAAGGATACTTTTAAAAGTCTAGTTAAATACTTTTTACGTTTATCTAGATGTCTACTGAGTGGCCTAGTTTAGATCTTCACGAAATATGCAGCGACCAATCCTTTAATATTGAAAATTTAGTCTACAATTAAATGAAAGATTAATAAATCTGCAACTAATCGTGGACAAGACGATGCAAAACAAATGGAAGGCGGGAATTCCTCGCACAAGTCCGCCGTTAACAAGAAGGATGAGTACAACTGTGCAGCTCGCGGGCGCAGGATACGGAGCGACAGCGACAAATTTGACCACCTCGATCCTTCCGAGGACCGCGATGAATTATGATGGCAACGACACCACGTGAGCTGTGAGGGAAGCGAAGACGAATGAGGGAACGATGAGCGATAAAAATCGCTTAATTGGCATGATTTAAGATCCCTTGATGAATAAAGGCATGATGCTACGGAAAGAGATTTTTGGACATGGTGGAGATGCATGCACAGCTGAAGGGACAATATTATACAATTCGTTTAAAATATATAAGTAAATAATGAAATATTTATTTCATGCGCATTATGTGGGAATAATATAATTTGGAACTATTTTTTTAATGTCTCGTATCCCAATTTGAAAGTAAAAACCATGTTCTTAGTTATACCGATCCGTTTGTAATTACCGGTCAAAACCAGTTGGATCAAAATGCATTAATAATCAATTAATATGATTGGTAATGAACGTATCCTTTCACCTTGTTAATTAATAAAGTATCTAGTGCATCATTTGTGATCGCATTGTTTGTTTACGCAAAGACCAATGTTCGTTTTCGTGCGGCGCTTGGTCATTTATCGTTTGATGCCGGTGAGTTTTGACGCTTCATTGTACGGTTGATCTTAAAACTTCATTATATTCCTTGGTCTGTGTTGGCAGTTATACGTAAAGTTTTTTTTTCGGTTGGCGATCCTTCATAGCCTCAGCATAAGAACACTCTTCGTATCTCCAGCAGATAAACTGGTCCTCGAATAATCTGTATAGAATAAACTCTCTAAAAATTCATGAATTTCGATCTGAACTTCATGGATATTATGAACATGGATATCATTTTATATTATTGGGGCATCTAAAAAATGAAAAATATACGAATATTAGCGTATTGAAAAGAATCTGATAATGAAAAAAATGGATGAGAAAAAAGGAGTAGAAAGGTCATGAGAGGTTATATATGGAGCGAGAGCCTAATGACATTCTCTGTCGTTGGACTTCGTACGGAAACTAATGAAAAGTTTTGAAGGCGAATTTTTAACGCTCGAAGATTGATGACCTTGCTGCTAAAGCGGGTGGAGATAAATTTTATGACCCTTATAAGTTTATTGCTGTCATGACAAAAAATACAATTTGCTGGAATCTAAAACATTTTTAATTGCGAGGAGATGTGTTTGAGGATCTCAAATGCAAATGTTGGAACCAAAAGTCACATCAAAAATATTTCCAAAAATGCAATATAAATTGCAGACAGGGATTGTTTCACACAACAAAAAGAACTTTTAGTAATTCATCATGTTTCCAGTTTTACATCAGTAATATTCGCATTGAATATTCAGACAAAGAAATAGTGTCCAATCGAAAGTCATTAATGAACTAAACAAAATTCCCCCACAATTCTAACTACTGGATGTCTCTCGGGTGCTATTAAATGTCCCTCGGGTACTATTAAATGTACCTCGGGTACTATTGGATGTACCTCGAGTACTATTGGATGTACTTCAGGTACTATTGGGTGTAAAATTGGGCGTCCCTACTCACCATCTGTTAAAAGGAGTATTATGATTGATAATTCAAACTCTCGAGATCTTCATCAGTGAGAGAGCCGGCTGCCCTGCTGCCATATGATATCGGTTCGTCCAAGTCTGGGAATTCTCTTCTGTCTCAGGAACTCTTGGATGATGGAAGTCGAAGTTTGATTGCCGTTGGCTGGTTTCATTCGCCCATGTTTTTACTGCCCTTGGTATTTTCCGTTCTAGTATCTGTCAAACCAAGATGAAAATTCAGCACATTTATGGATAAAAATGGTGTGAATTAGCCGTCATATGTGACACTGAGATGAATGACACGATCTTTTGAAAAAAAAAAAATAATGGAGTTATTTCACAAGTTCACAAGTAATAATGATATGAATGGCACCTTCTTACGTAAAAATTAAATTTCGCTCGCACGATTATATGTTAAAGTTAATAGGATTAGTTCATGGACCCGAATGTTATGAAATTGCAGCACTGTTCATACTATACGATCGGAATGATGCACGCGTATTTTGCATTGTTCGCTGCAGGCAGAACGGTCCACAAGATTGAAATACCAAAGGGTAACGCATTTTCAACAGTTTAAAATTAAATTAGTAACATAACACGGTACGGGAATGTACAGTATTTATTATTTGGATATAATATTGTGGGCAGGCAGCACGCTGAAATAAATAAAAATAATACCAATAAATATTTTATAAATGGATACAAATAAATTGAAATTTTTAAACGAATATTTGAGCACGGCGCACGTATTCTGATGTACATTGGATGACGAACGGAAGAAAGTCTCCTCAGAGAACAGAAAAGCGAAGTGCCAGGAATTCAATATTAAACTTTTGGGGCAAAAACTGCCCGGCCGAGGTTAATGAGAAAAGGCAGCGAGCAGCCCAGACAATTGCGACCAGCCGGAGTAAATGAATCTAGCTAATGCCTTGCAGTCGGAAATAATGCCTTGCCTTGCTGAAATAACTCTACAGCTTGTAGGTTTTCTTTGCAAAATACTGAAAGTACTAGAAAAACTGGAAATTTTCCGAAATTTTCAACACGCGTTCAATGAAAAGTAACTACAGCTAACTAAAGTCTGTCGTGTGGAAAGTCTTTGTCTCATGACATGAGCGAATTTTTTAAATATATATTTTTTTATAATTCCAGCTTCTTTGCATCTTTTCACTTTCAAAATAATAAGGTGGTGTTGAAAAAAAATTGTGGTATATGGAGTGATATCTTTTTATTTTTAAGCATCAAATGTTGCCATGTAAAAATATACATTGCTATATTCATTATTTTTTAGACATTTCTAGTAGAAAACTAGAAATTCGGCCGGTCAACGCACTTGGGAAACTTAATATCCGCTTACAGGAATATTTTCGGGCGTCTTTACCAGCGGCGATTGCATTTTCAGTCGAGGCAGGCGAGAAAGGCATTCAAGATTTTCTTAGAAACTAAAACAATGAAAAAGGCATTCAGTAACATGTAAGAATCCCAAATCAGAAGTTTTTTTCGGTGCGAAGTGTTTCTTTGTTTCGTTTTCATAATACCAAATAAAATTGCTAGATAGATTTAGTTTTAGAAGAAATAAGTTTCCATTTTAGTGAAGGTAAAATAGGACTAACGCTTGATATCAAAATATTCCTTATCTGGAACATCATGTTCTTCCTTACGGCTAACTTGATGGTAAGAAAGAATACAGGAATAACAAGAAGGTACAGGGAAAAAAGCGTTTAGTAATCTAAAATTAAATGTGCTTACGAGAGCAGCTGGTAAACTAAATGTCCCTGTCTGTAGTTTATTTTCTTGATAAAAAAGTTCAGCTAATAATACTACTATTTGCAATGGTTTCATTATTTTATTGTATATTTTCAATTAAATCTTGACCTGCTGTTGAATAACAGAACACTATAGTGATATTTAGCTATCTTTTATTATACATTCGATCATATCTTCATTATCTGGTCAAGGTTTAAATTTCATTGTGTTTTTATGCAAATTTAGTAGTAGATACTTTAGTATTTACAACTAAATTTAAAGCATATAGTTTCGTTAAAAAAGCTTAAACTTTTTGAGCATTGATCAACAATCTCTTATCTCCACTTATCTCTATTATTTTCGTACATCAAATTGATGACAAAGGCCTAGTTAAGACTTGTCAATTATTAAAATTAATGTTGCAACCCCCATTTACTTCAGCCGCATAGTAGACGAGATCCTGCGTGAGCTGGCAGCGAGTGGCAGTCCTGTAGCAGTGGTGGAGGCCAGGGAGCTCACCGCCCTCATCTCCGAGTGCTACAAGACCGACCCTCAGCACAAGCGTGCCAGTCCCGCAAAGGATTTCCCGCATATACTCTATCCGGGTGAGCTTTCTCAACTACCAAGTGGCACCCGCACACAAGCCCAGTCGAGGGCTTACCGCATATACTCTACCCCGGTGAGCTTTCTCAACTATAATACAAAAAGACACATGCGTAAAACCCCAGCCGAGGGCGCGGGCTGGAGATCTGAAATATTACGAACTGGACGTCTGAAATGTCGCCCTTGAGGGCGATAATTATTTTGAGATTTTGAATTATTGAGACCTACCGCCTCGCTGGCGATGTTATCTTTTGATCTCCGGTGCGAAATAGCTTGATAGCTGAAGCCCTGGCAAACCATTCTACAATACTACTACTTGACTAATATAATAACAAGCATAAACATGGACTTCACTCATTTTCTCTAAACGGGCTAGCATTTCAAATTCATTTTAGAAGAAAATTATTAAAGGCTCGTAGCAAAATCGGAATCGCTATGTTGAAAAAAGGCTTAACTAATGAAAATTACAAAAAAATGTACAGAAAAATTCTCAAAGGAAGTAGGGCATACCTCAACAGTATGGCAACCAACACGAGCAGGAATGCCTCAACAGTATGGAGAACAACACGCGCAGGAATGCCTCATCAGTATGGCGAACAACACACGTAGGAATGCCTCATCAGGATGGCGAACAACATCCCGGCCGTCTCTTCGACTGGAAAGACTTCAGCCATCGATCGTAGGCTGCGTGCACGTAGCTCAGTTCCATGCTTGCTGCGTTCATTAAGGCTTAGATTCATCAGAGCACCGGCAGCATAAACAAGGCCTGAATCTTGCGCACATAAGCATTGCATCTATGCATCGATTGCTGCACTTTCTGCTCAATTGAAGACATAGCAATCGCAAACGCTGTTTGCGATTGCGTTCGCAAACGCTGTTTCCTACATAGTGATATAGATTTAATTAAGAAACATGTTCTATTGAATTAAAAAATAATTTTCAAGATAATTAGGTTTTAGAATCTGAATTAGAACTTAAGCATGGAAAATTTGAAGGGAGAAAGCCATGACTCATTGAAACGAAAACTCGCAAATTTTGCAAAATGCACGGATGCAAAATTTTATTTTATTCTTCCAGGAAATGCCCAGACAGAAAAAACACCTGAGGAACTTCCGTCACTTGAAACATCCGCACATCCGAACACACTCAAACATTCAAAAACTCGAACAGATATACGTCTAAATAAGATAAACATGAACACCTGAAACGTTCTTCGTCCACAGTTACCAACTGCACTTCCTTCCTTCATATCCGTCTTCCTACCTTCCCTCTCCAACGCAACGTTATTGAGGTTCGCCCGGAATTTCATTTCAGAACCTTAAGGAGATTAGCTAAGTTGAGGAGAGCAGCAAGAAGCTTACAGCTGCCTGAGCATCTTGGCACTATAACTCCACCAAATTAACAGTGATGGGCGCTCGAGAGCTGCTCCTTCTGTGATAATTAAAACAATTTGGATAGGAGCAAATGTGAAGTTAAAACACATCACTTATTATAATAAATATTCGTATATTTCGTCCGAATTCTCCACAACATAATAAAAAATTATTATATAATTTGGGAGCGTGTCACGTTTTTGAACCAAACTTTACGCGGGAGGGACTTGCACTGACTCTAATTATTGTTTTTATTAATACGTATCAACTCGGAAATGAATTTTCACATAATAGCGTTGTTTTACTCAGCCTGGAGGCTTTTTTGACGCTCTTTTGTTGTCCTCTCAAGCTCTTCTGATGTTCAGCGGAAATGGCATACGCAGTAAAGGAAATCAACCGTGCCATCCCGGATCTGCAGTTCAGGGTCTTAGTTTTCCCTGAGATAACTGGGTGCTTATGAATAACGACCAAGCTAATGTTTACTATGTTATTTTCATTAACACTAGAAAATTTAACTTGTTGTTAGCACATCCTATGGTACACATCAGTCTTGTTCTAAGAAATTTAATGAAGTTTAGACTGAAGTGACCAAACCTCAGCCAGAAACATTCATAATTAATTCATGTAGGCCTCCAAGAAACAACACTTCTCATACAGGCTCGTGCTCGTAACGCTCAATGGTGGACACCCCGTGTTGTTTGTTCCCCTTTAAACATTCATGGGCCGTAAATTCCCCGGCGAAAACAGCACCGGCTTTAAAACAATCCCGCCAACCTTCCCAGCCATTACATTTAAACTCGGAGAGATTCCAAGATGAGATGTCTCACCCGTGAATAGCATAAACAAAGCAAGCGGGAAGATAGATATTTTTATTTTTTTTTTCTTTGAAAAAGTGATTGTACTGTCCAACAGTAAATTCAAAAGATACAATATCAGTGAATCTTTATAACCTTAGAATCATGGGCACTAATTGAGATAGAACTCAATTTTTTATTTTATAATGGGGAAGCACAACGTTCACGAATAACTTATAGGAATCTACCAGAGGCCAGTATGATCATATTTCTGCAGCTGCGCAGTAAATCATCAAACAACTTAGTGTCAACTATCCTCTAATTCGTGCCACGCCTCGGTTCATGGGTGAGACGTTTAGGAAACGCCGGCAATACATTCAAATTTACTTAATATCAATGTATTTACTTAATTTTTCACAATATCTCGAGGAGTTCTTCTCAGTTTATGAATAAAGGCTAAAACCAAAAAAGTTGCATAAAATATTTTACTGAATCGAAGTCCTAGATAAATAAAACAGAACTATTCAGTTCTGTTTCAGACAGAACTGTCAGTTCTGTTTCAGTTCTATTCATAAAACTCTATTCAGTAAAATGTTTTGTGCAACTTTGTTGGTTTTAGCCTTTATTCTTTTACTTAATTTTTGATTCAACTCTGCATATTTACTTAATTTCAAAAGAAACCTGATTTTTTATATTATCACGTCTCTACTCTCTTATATGATGTTCGTGTACACTTTACCGATTAGCAAGCATCTATCATGGCTGCTGAAGGAACGATAAATGAAATTAACAGATCAAAAACTTTTAGTACCTGACAAGCGCGTCTGCCGATTAACGTCTGCTGTTGATTGCGGTTCAAACACTTGCACCTGCAAAAAATATATGAAATATCTGGACAATTCGAGACAAGTGTTTGGCTGATAGTCTCATGCACTCGACAGACTTATTTTTATGTGCAATATGAGTCATAGTTGGTCGTACTTTGTGTGGGACGGCCTCGAGTCTTCGTTCACCGATCTCATATCGCCGATGACTCAACATACATTTGTGAATTAGCTTGAGGATGTTTGAGACCAGCTATAGATAACGTGAACGCTGGTCTCAACGTATAACGTATTTATTGTAACTGTTGAGAATACTCATTGCAATTTGATCGCTCCAAATTTAAATTCATATTATTAAAGTTTCAATGCAGGAAATATTAGTGTATCATATGCAGTTGCACTGTGCTTATTGCTTATCGCTTATTGCAATTTTCCCATTGCGACGCGTTCCTCTTTTAAAAATCTCCACAAAATTTTTCGTCATGCACAAGGCTATTGGGTAATTAGTCAAGAACTAAATGTTGTTCAGGCACGAAATGGTGCGGCACTGGAAATGCCGCTGAGAACCCCAGTGACTTGGGCCCGCTGAAGAACCTGGACGCCTGCTGCCGGGACCACGACTTGTGTCCCGACGACCTCGAGCCCGGACAGTCCCGCCATAACATCACCAACGACACGCCCTTCACCATGTCGGTTAACTATTAACTATAAATTAAGTCACGGTCAGAGATTGCGACGTTGATTTATCGCATGCCATTTCGGTGTTATTATTTATAATTTTGTCATCAACTATCATGATTCCATTGCGCTTGATTTTTCTGCAATCGCGATTGTTTTATTCCTTAATTGTTTTAACGCTATTTTAGGATGTTTCTAACAAGGTTTTAGCGTCACATTATTTTATTTCTAGTAACTCTGTAGTGCTATATTCTTTTCTTTCTAATAAATATTTAGCGCTATATTGGTGTGTTTTAATAACTTTTTAGCGCTATATTGTATTGTTTCTATCAACTCTTTTGCGCTGTACTGTCTTATTTGTGACAATTCTTTAGCGCCATATTGCCTTCTCTGTTTCTAACAATTCTTTAGCGCCATATTGTCTGTTTTGTTTCTAACAATTTTTTGGCGCTATATTATTTGTTTTGATTCTAATTAATCTTTATGGCTATATTGCATTGTTTCTAACAACTCTATCGCAATAAGTATTGCATTTCAGGAGTCACTGTGACTGCAACGAAGCTTTCCGGGCGTGCCTGAAGGCTGAGGGCAGCGGCGCAGCGAAGGAAGTTGGAATCGCATTTTTCTCCACAGGCTTATTCCAGTGCTACCGACTCGCACCTCCCACACACGCATGCACCAAGTGGGCGGGGTAAGTGACATATTCCTACAAAAATATCTATTTGGTTTATAATTACTTATAAATACAAGTATTTATAAATACATCAATTTTTTTTCATTGAGTATGAATAAACTTTCCTAGAATGAATTGTTTGGTGCAAAAATTACAGGATGCTGACTCAGGCATGTCAGGAGTACAAGTTTGGCACCTCAGGCGAACTTCGCTGGCAAGTCTTTGACATGGCCGCCTTTGAATAGATTCCTGCCCACACCACGCTCATCTGCAGCCAGCATTGCCAAGGCAATGAAGACCTGCCCAATGTACATCGAAGTTTTTGGGGAGGCGTGTTCGATTTTAACTGTGCATACTTCAGGCAGATTTGGTCAGAGAATTCTATTTAATTTTTAAAATCTTAGAATTTTTATTTGGTTGTTCAAGTCTCTATTTTCATATTTATCTACCTGCGGTCTGCCCTGTCTGCATTCTCAACGCTTTTCAATCTTGCATCACAATTCAGACATGCGTTCACTTCTACATCCAAATCATCTAAGTATTTTCTAATGTTCCGTAATTACTATTGTTTTCTATATTACTATGTACTATGTAAAGTAGTATATAAACTTGTATTAAGCAAAATCTACCTCACGACCTATCTCATAGTTTCATCAATAACCGAGATTTCATAGCATAGTTTTCACGGCATATATGTAAAATAATATTCTTACTCGAATCTGTAGTCTGCGGATTTAAATTAAACGAAGACTATTTTACGGCCAGTGTTTAAATAATAACGTTTCCATTATCCGAAATGAATAAGATAATAGCAGTGCCGTGCGATTGGCGAACAACATTACTTTTTCTGTTCGAAATCCTTGAACACTCAGAGCGACCAACCGCCCCAATCACTAATGCGTGGACACTGCATGCCGGAGGTTCATCGGCCTCAGTCACCTGCAAAGCGCGAATGGCGCACGAGCGTCTTGCTATGCACGCCATATCTGCAGTTTTCCGAGGATCACCTTATGATATTCCACCAAAATATTCTCAAAGAGAGAAGGTCATGGCATCCATTCATTTAAGATGATGAATAAAAAGATCACCATTCTTATCTAACGAAGTAAGCACATTTTTATTTCGTGACATATTTCTAAGTTACGTGAGATTCAAAACTAATACAATTTCCCCAAGAATTCTGACACATTTCCGTTGTATCGTGATTAATTTCTACCACACAATGACTTAACGTCTAAAAATTCAAATAGATCTTTTTGAAAAAGCTGGTGAGCTGCACTGTTTACTATGGCAATGTACGTACGTGTTTCACATCAGGCAGTCTACACAGGCAAAACTTGAGGTACAGTCACTTTTTTGCCAGTTGCTCCCTCAAAGTTCCCGGCTACTTCTAAAAATATCAACAGCAGCAGCGCCAAGGGATTAGTCTGTAATTATGAGTGGCCAGACCACTCCCAGGTTGCAGGAATTTTTAGTGCGATTGGTTGACCGTCGGCGGATCAACGAGTACGTTGATACTCGAGTGTATATATCGTTCCTATCACTTCGCTGCAGTTTTATGTAACATACGAGTAAGTGCTATGTTCGTTCAAACGCTACTGGCCGAGTAAACACTTGAAATATTGACTCTTTATTGTGATGTTCAATTCGAATTATATTGCAATTATCCTCGCTTTATTTTACCTGTTGGGCAGAGCCCTTCTTCGCGAAAAGTTTTATTAAAAGTATGCCGTTCATAGTGGAAACTCACTTCGAATTCAATTCCTCCGGGAATAATTTTTTTGTTAAATATTAGATTTAGCGTGCTTTAAATTTCTCCTGAGCGAAGACGATAAAATTAGACAAACGGAGAAACTGAATTTGAAGGAAGTTCTCTAGATGTACTACATTAATATTAAATGTTGTTCATTAGAACTGTGAATTGCAATGTAACTTTATTCTAACGAAAGGCGGAAAGGTGCATTGACTATTTTCAAGATAATGGTTGCATTTTATAGCGACTTCATGGTCAATGATATTCATGTACAGCAATCAGTTCATCTCTATGATTGTAGTAATAGCCAGTCATTAGATTAGTCAAAGCCGTTATAAAAAACTATCCGACAAAGTATTTACTTGCCGGGTCCGGCCTGTCGTGTTCGCGCGAGGCTACGTCCACATGTCATATTGTAATCATCTCTCCGTTGATGTAAACATTTGTCTGGCTTTGTTTATCTCAATGCTGATAAACCAGTTAAACTTTCCATGCAGTATATCAATGGAATCAATCATTTGAATTTCGGATGTTAACTTCAATCAATCATAATCAAAATTTTAAACATCATAAGGATTATCCTATGAATATTTATTAATAAATTATGTCTACCACAATCCCATGTGAACCGAAAGTTCCTCGGTCTAGTCGTAAATGATACGCTCGTTGATCTCCCGATAGTAGCTTCATGTAAATACATGGCTAATTTTGACTGCGTTTTTTTCAATCAAAATTAAGTCACTGATATCATTCATTGAGCAAGCAGATAACGCGTGCTGACCAATAGGCCTGTCAATCTCCCTTCCATGACCAACGAGAATCACAATGGAAAATAAAAGGTAAGTCCGGCTGAAGAGTTTCTCATTGCTAATTTTCTTAATTATAATTCAAAAGATAACGAAATTCTTATGCTATAAGAAGAAAATAAGAACAAAGACAAAATTTCGTTTGGTAAAATTAGTGTGGTTTCAACCTACTACGCTCAAGCTAAATGAGGTTTTTTACTAGAGGTTTTTTGATCTTTCCTAACAAAAAGTTCTTACATTAAATAATGTGGGATTTTATACAGACAATATCTCGTGGCAAAAAAAGGTGGCGAACTGCGTGTGCCTTGAGGAGTGCGCATAAGATCTTTCACCCCACCAGTTGAATTGCCGAATATTTGCAAATTATATGAAAAAAATGCTTGTACTTCTATGCAATTGCTTCTGGTCACTGAGGTGAAATATGATCAAGAGGCGATAGTCGGTTCAGGGTTGTTGGATTATATGATTCAAGAGAAAATTTTTTGCAATTCCACAGAAATACAGATCCATTATCACAAAACTATTTATACATTTGGCAGAGCAGAACTATTTGTGCATTTGGCAGAGCAGAACTATTTATGCAATTGGCAGATCAGAACTATTTATGCATTCGGCAGATCTCTACTTAAAATTTAACAGTATACAGAAACGTTTTCAAGTCAAATGGAAGAACCATTTTAGCTCGAACAATAAAATCATTGGCTTTTAAGCGAAAAATGAGCTATTTAAATTCTCACAGCAAAGTAGTTATTTGAGATATTTTCAACTTATCAAGAATGAAGAAGTCTGAAAGCTTTTTAGGCAGGGACTTGGAGATACATTATAAACATTTGAATAAATTAATAATATATTTCGAAACAAGTTTCCAAGATTTGGAAGGTATGAAGATTGCATTTGACATCAAATCAGACAATGAAAGTTATTAAATAATCTGACTTAAAAGATGATAGATTTGGTGGGTAGATCTAGAAGCTAAATATTTGTTTGAACGCAGACTCTTCCTGTATATTGGACCCATATGTCAGCACTGTCACTTACTATCCCAACCTTAAGGCAGAAGTCAAGCTTTTTGCTTGCATTGCAAACTTTTTGTATTGTCGAAGCTTGTTTTTGCCATGTGAAAGCGATTACTAACAAAGTAGATAAATGGACTAAACTCGTAAAACCGTGGCGATTTATGGCTGAAGCTCACGAATTGCAAAATAAATATCTTTCTTTCTTTATTCTTTATTCACATAAGAGTAAACAGCACGTAACAAATGTACAAAAGGATCAGAGAAGTGACAAAAAGATTCTATAGTGAATGCCCATACAAGCCAAACAGCTTCGAGGGCGACAATTGGACAGGCAACAGAGGCGGTACAAGACTCTATTAAATGATAATGAGATAATGACAAGAATATAAAACGTACTGTTTACAAATTAATACTATTATACGAGCTACCCAGAACAACTTCAGACAGTAGGTCACTTAAAAAGTAAACTTAACACATGTAACACTAAAAAAGCCTTATTATAAACATTAAACTAAGGCTGGGTAGGCATAAAATCCCGAAATTTTGTTTTTCAAAAGAATTTGTAATAATTTTATTTTAAATCGTCCGGCAGCTCGTTAAAATATTTACTCAATTGAAAACTGTAGCGTGTTTTTCTATCTACCGCTAAGCAAACTGGCGGTAAATTAAAGTGTCCGCCTATGGTATTATGGGAATGGCGAGGAAAGTGAAGGACGAAAATAGATTATAAAGGACGTTTGCCGTGAAATAGTGCCCTATTCAGGAACTTTGAAATCTGAAACTTGTACATCCAGTTATGGGTCGCCTGCCGAAGACCACCACTGCCATGGATGTAATGGACCATCATGATTCCTGCCTTCCGGAACGTAGCCTTCAACACTTTAAGCCGTCCGTATCTAGGCCGTGGGTCGAACCAGCTTTCGGTCGAACGGCCACTTGTCGAAGGACGATAAATTTTGGAAGAGAACTATGCTATCTGAAACCTAACCTCAGATGTGGTGAACGTAAAATTACGTAATTTAACGATGCCTGGAAGTCATATTCGATCCGCGGCCTGGTGGTGCACGGCAGGTGGTGGTCAAGGCCGGAAGAGGACAAAGCCGAGTGGTGCACGGCTGATTGGTGTAGGTCCGGAGAGATCCAAGGCGTTCGATTCAGGGCTTATTGGTGCACAAAATTGGTGGTGCGCGGCTGCGCTCCCTCCAGTTATAATATTTTCGATGGCCTATATAATTCGTTTGTACGAGTAAACGGGATATTGTTAATATATCTAAACCTAAGGAATTAAGGATTGATCACAGCGACTCATTGATTAACGTGGCAACTGGTTTCTTAGTACTGAGAGATACACCACCCCATATTACTAATGTGTTTGAAAGTTTAGATAAAAACAATGAATGAAAAAGCGATTTCAATGAAGAGAAAGATAAGACGCCGGATAGAGCATGAAGCACCCCGTGGGCTTAATTAACTGAGCCCCTGACAAACGTAGGTAATGTGTTTTTTAAAAGAAATAATGTTGTCGAGGATTAAGCCCAGAAAACGAAAATCCTCAGCTCAATCTAAAAGTGTCAGATTGAATGTGATTTTCCAAAAAACTGAAACTGATTTCGGAGTAAAAAGCATCATTTTAAGTTTTATCGGTGAGCACCACTAACTTGTCTCATAGCCACCTTGACAAATTCGCTGACAGCTCCGATATACTATCACAAGCGTTATGGTAGGTACATTTTTGATATAAAAAACAGCGTCATCAACAAAGAACTTGCAGTTCACGTTAGAAGAAGAGGCGATATCATTTATGAAAATGTTAAAGAAAAGGGGCCCGAGAACAGAGCCCTGTTTTTTTCAATCGTAATTGGTCAAATGGGTGATTCGAACTCGTTGAATGAAACGTATTGATCTCTATTGGTTAGATATAACTGAATTAACGAATAAAAAGAGCCCCTGATGCCATAACGGTAGAGTTTACTTAGGACAATTTGTTGTTTTACGCAATCGAAGGCTTTTTGCTAATCGAGAAAAAGAGCAATACAGTAGATTCTTGCATGGAATGCTATCAGCAGGTCTTTGACTTGATCGAATATTGTCATAGTCGTGTTAGTGCCTTCATGGAGACCAAATTTATCATCAGCTATAAGTGATAATTTGTCTAGAAAATTTGTAAGTCTGCGGTGCAGAATTGTTTCGAAAATCTTATTATAATAAGGTAGAGTAGATGTGGGGGCGATAGTTGCACACATTATTCGAGTTGCCGGACTTAAAAACTGGTATGACATTGGTGCGATTTTGGACATCAGGGTGGACGCTCGTATATCGACATACACAAATTAAAAATATGGGCTAAAACTGGCGCTACGATGTCAGCAGCTTCAAGTTATATTCTTGTCTGAATTTCCTCAATATGAAGCCTCTTGTCTTTGTATAGTCGTAACAAACTTTTTATTTCTGATGCAGAAGTAGGAGATAGGAAGCAGGATGCCTCACAAAATGGGACACCAAAAGTCGTACCATCTCTCACGGGACCTAAATCTTTTGTTATGTCATTGGCTACAGAGATAAAATAATTGTTGAATTCTGTAGATGCATCGGGGCCAGACGTAAGCTTATTAGTTTTGGACAATTCAATCTTTTTCAGTGTAAGATTCTTAGCAAGTAAGGAGTTAGTATGTGCTAAATAAAACCCTAGAGTCGTTCGAGTCCTGCTGAATTTTAATTCAGAAGTACTTCTTCTTAAGTTCAGATTGAGACGCGGTGGAGATCAGACGTGTTGTGTAGTCGCTCCAGGAGCCTGACCGACTTGTTTCCTGCTTGAATTGCTTCCGGAACTTTATTACCGTCGTGCGGTTGTGCTGGACTTCCGGAACTTTATTACCGTCGGGCGATTGTGCTGTACTTCCTGTACCGTCGGGCGGTTGTGCTGTACTTCAGGAACTTTATTACCGTCGAGTGGCTGTGCTGTACTTCAGGAACTTTACTACCGTAGGGCGGTTGTGTTCATCAGGCTTGTTTCCGGTGATTTATTGTTTCCGGTGATTTATTGCTGTGAGAGACCCTTGCTAAATCTCAGTGAAGGAACCCGGAAATCATTAAACAATTAAGAAAGAAGACATTTCGATGGCTGGGAAGAAAGTAAACAAGATTGTTAAGAAGGAATGCGGTTCGTCGAAACAAGATGCACCGAAAAAATCGAACAGGAGATCGAAGTGCGTAGTTGAAGATGCATGCAAGTTTTGCAAAGAGACCTCGTTGAGAGAAGATGATCAGATGGTCATCTGTGAACACAGCGAGGATTTCATTTGCATCAGTTACGCGAAGCTGAGCTCTGAAGAATACTCTTTCCTACAGAAAACAGAGTCGTTTCACTGGTTCTGTAGCGACTGCGAGAAACCGACTCTCCGTGCCAGGAAAAGCGAGAAGCAGATGGAAGAGAATTGGTTCGCTCTGTTCGCAGCATTTCGAGCTGATATGGAAAACAATTATCGGAAAGAGATGAACACGTTGAGTAATTTAGTTGGCTCTTTGAGTAATGAACTAAGCTCGTTGCGCAAAGAGCTGATCGAAGAGAGAGCTCAACGGAAAAATATAAAAAACTTGGAAAAGATGGAACTGAAGAATCACAACGTGGACATAGCCGAAATCGCTAGCGAAAGCTCCCGCGAATTACTAGACAGAGAACGAAGGAAGTGCAACCTTGTTTGGTTCGGCATTCCCGAAAGCACCGCATCTGAGACGAACGAACGTGTGATGGCCGACAATAAGTATGTGCACTAAGCACGCCGGTTGATATTGCATCGTGCAAGAGGCTGCGCTCCAAGAATGCTGCTACTAACGCATGCAGACCTCTATTGGTGACTGTGAAGGATCCGGCCCAGGTTTGGAGCGTGCTG